CGTTCTGTACATAGAAGGACCAAGTATCCTTGTCACTTTGACTGAGAATCCTTTCATAACTAAATTCACTTAATGAATTCTATTACATTACGCTGAAAGCTCGTATCGCGCATAGATGAAAATTAAATTAATTAGTTATGTGTATTATAATTGTATGTTAAAACCATGTTGAAACGCGAATATCTCATTATATTTTGTAATTCTCAGGGAACCATATATCTACACAAATTAAACACAACGTATATCTACACAAATATGTGGTTTTCTCCTTTTTAAAAAATATTTAGCCTGTGAAAAAAAAATTATATATTATAAGCGTTACTGAAATCAAAGTAACCACAAATTCATGAATCTGTTGCTAAAATTCGAGATGGATTCGCTGGAGATTTTCTGGCACTCTGTGTGCCAGCGATTTACATTCGCAATTCTACTAAAACACGCCAGTCCCTCTTTTTATTGTCGCGACGAGTGACGTCAATAGCCGCTAATCTTGGAGCTCACTTCCGAAAATTATGACGCTCGCAGCGCGACGTTTAGGGCGATTATTCGTTTGACGATGACATACGGTTGTCTCCTCTTATTTTTTTCATTCAGCGCATTACGCGGGAATGAATCTCTATTAAAAAAACATGATTTATTTTACGGTTTTAAAATATGGAAAGTCTTAGTAACATGGAACATATTTAATTTTTCATATTCATTTAAAGTAATATATTTAATGATTTTTTGAAAAGCTTGAGAACGTGAAAACTAATTATACATTTAGCAAAAATATTTTTAGCAAACATATTTTAATATAAATTTATAAATTGAAACGTTTTAAATTTAAATAAGATTAAATTTATTTTATATATAATTTATAAAAACTCAATTTTAAGTTATATATATAGAATTTTAACAATTTATAGACTAGCCTTTTTTTTATTGCAGTATTACTTATAAAAAATTTTATTTGCAAAATAAATCAATCATTTGGCTGACAGTATTGTTTTTTTATCTAATGAGAATTAAAATATCATTAATAAAATATTTATGTGCTTGCCGAAATTATAGAGCCTAAGTACAATATCGATTGTGAAAAAATACGCGCTAAGCAGAGCTTAAAAAGATCGTCTACCGCAAGACGTAATAATGCAGATGTAAGAGCACGGCCTACATAAATCAGAGCAAATTTCCGGCTAAAATATCGACTGCTCGCACGATCTTACGGATTCTCTCTACGGCGATTTTGTATCGCAAAAATCCAGATATAATTGGCAATTCTTGGCGTATAAATAATCGTGGTCTGATGTAGGAGGCTACTATTGTTGCCCTTGACCGTCACCGCCGATCGCAAAACACGGCAATTGTCGACGGCAACCATCGTGTTTTCCCCAAGGAGAGAAAGAAAAACCGCTCGTTTGCTGGTGGATTACACAATCGTGAATCGCACGATTATGGTAGCAGTTTTCTCGCCCACACTTTTCCTTCTCTACCTCTTTACTCTTCAGTTCCAAAGGAAACCGCACATTCGATCGTAATGACGTAACTCGCACGACCCCGTCGTTGTCGTCGCATGTCATTATTTCTCGCATTATTGACTCCCAAAGAGTCAAAGTTATACAAGCCCTCGCCAAGGCTGAAGGGCATAGTAAGTGCTTTCGAGAAAGTAATTATAATTTAGTTATTTATACAAAAATTTAACAAAAATGCGTACATGAAAAAATTCATAGCAATACATATACAAGGAGAGAACGAAATAATCCATAAATTTAGCTAGATACAGAACTGAAAATAATTTTGTTAGTCAAAATTATTTTTAGGTAGGACACAAAATTTTTAGATAGGATGACACAAATTTGACTGTAAAAAAATTTTTAACATTCTAGCAATAAGTTTTAGTGTCCTACCTAAAAACGTTGATGATCTAACAAAATTATTTTCAGATTTATATCTAACAAAATTTTTAGATACTTCAGCGAAATCATTCTCTGTATAAAAAAGATAATTTTATATAATTTGACAATTTTGATCTAAAAATTTAACTAGATGTAAATCTGGAAATTTAACAATAATTTTGTTAGACCATAAAAATAATTAAGTAAGAATCTCAAACTAATTATGAAAATGTTAAAGCTTTTGCAACATTTCTCATCATGCTTGAGCTTCCTAATAATTATTTTAATAGATCAACAAAATTATTTTTAAATCTGCATCTGACTAATTTTTTTTTATATTATACTTCAGCAAAATTATTTTTTTCGTGTAACAATACATACATGGAGAGGACGACTTTGATGAGGCATATAAAAATTTAGCTAGATACAGATCTGAAAATAACTTTGTTGGTCCATCAAAAAAATAGTATAGAACTCTCAAACTGTTTGCTGGAATGTCAAAAAACTTTTTGCAGCATTATTTATCATACTTGAAATGCCTATAACAGAATTATTTTAGTCGAACAAAATTACTTTCAAATCTTTATCCAGCTAAATTTTTAGATACTTCAGCATTGTTCTTTTCATATAAATATTCTGTAATATAGTATCACTTTTTACTTTTCGGATGCAATATCGTATCTCTAAAGTGATCATGACGTAGATCATTCTATACATCCCAGGTTTTATCCAAATTAATGAGTTTAGCTTAACGATATTAGACATCAAGGTTATTATGCAGAGAGATACAAAAAGAAACGAAATCGTTGCTCGAAAGCAACGACTCTAATCGTCTTAATCGTATCAAAGGAATAACACCAACAACACTGTTTTATTGCTGTTTGAATGACTTTTAAAAACGACCACTGAGTTATTAACTCCGCGATGAATCAGCTTGATGTATCGAATTATTTGCCGAGGAATCAGTCGGTTCTGCTCACGAATCTACATTTCGGTGGAAACTCGTATTCACATGGAAAGAGTAATTTTGTTAAATAGTTAAAATATTTAAAAATTTGGCTAGATATAGAGCTGAAAATAGTTTTGTTAAAATAATTTTGTAGAACGCTCAAGCTTAATGAGCAATGCTGCAAAGAAAAATGATGACATTTCAGTAATCAGCTTAAGAGCTGATTGTTGTTCAACAAAATTATTTTTCAAATTATTAAATATATTTTCAAAACTATTAAACTAAATTTTTAGATATTTTAGCAAAATGTTCTTTCCATGCATGTGTAAGGTTATTTCTCTATTGTTGAAAAAAATTAAAATTAAACGATCATAGATAACAGAAATAGAAAAAGAAGATTTTTAGAACGACGAAATAAAAGCTTAACTTTTAACATGACTGGTTTGTCGAAAATCACAAAATGCAATCTTCTAAAATCCCGAATAGATATGCGACGACTTTAATATATAATATCGCCGACCATCTCTTTCGCAACGGATACGGTTCGCAAAAAGCTTCGGGCGATCTGCCGGTTGACGCAACGCCGATTTTAGAATCTGTTAATTTAGCAGGGGAAGGAGCTTTTTGCGCGCATTGATTAAACGCGTCACGCGATAGAAGCGTCTCGATTATAAATAATTTCGTTCCAGCGGCGCGTTTTGCTCCGTTCGGTTTGCACGTATACACACGTAAGAACCGCAATATTGCTGGCGCGGTTCTGTGCAATGACAGTAGACGCACAGCTTGCATGTATCTATAGTCGTGCACTCGATGTTTGGGCTTAGCATTGGACACGTTGGCACACATATTCAACCTCGTTTTTGCTTTGAAGCCGCTCGTCGTTTGGGGATCTCCCTTTGAGTCAAAAGCGGCTTGGCTCACTTCAGTTGATAACCCTCGACCAAAATGTTCCCCGCATGTTTATACCAACATGAGAAATATTCGTGAGACATGCCGCGAAAATGTGGCACGTCCGACACGACGATAAGTTTACGAGCCCGGGATTTTACTACTTCCGAGCATATCTTTTCCCCGCGAGATATCCCACCGAGGACGATGGCGAGATTTGGCGGGTAAACAATTGTAAGACGTCGTAAAGGGACGTTAAACTTGAATGAATCAACATATATTCGAGAGAAGAGAAGATTTTTTTTGCTATACTTTCAGGAAGTTTATACAACTTCGTTTCTTGCATGGTCTGCGTTCTGAATTTGAAATCACAATTCTTTCTTCATATCTTCCTTTATTTTTCACATTGATTACCTTTGCGATATCTAATATAATCTCCGATATTTTTTAACGTTTTATTATTTTATTATTATTACGGAATTTTTTATACATATAATAAATTATTATTTTTATACAATAATAATTTATCATAATAATACATGGAAAATCTCTCTCTCTCTCTCTTTCTCTTTCTTATTTTATTAAGTATCCGATATACACGGGGTAAAATGAAAATAGTTTAATATTTATATTTATTATTTATTACCATTTATATTTATTATTTTCATAAACAAATAGGCATTGTGCGTGTACACATTGTTAGTACACATTGCGTGCTACGAATTTCAGTGCGCCTTAAATACAGAAACATATAAATAGAATAATTTCGTTTATTTATTCATTAAGTACCTTATCAAGCACTTTTCTGTTTTATTCATACACAGCACACAATGTCGATTATCTTACAGATTGTGCAGCTTTCCTTACGTCTAATTTTAATCTTGATTCGCAGCAAAAACAACAGGGGGTTTTTCGAATAATAAGCATGTTTTGCATATCGCAAATATTCATATCCATTTTGTTCTATTATGCTAAGGAATCTCATGAAAATTTTATGATACGTTAAATATGTATATCTCGAATTTAATTAATTGAAAAAATTGTACTCATTTCATTCCTAGCTTCGCAATATTTTCACGATTTTTTTGTGTGGAAAAGCCGAGCTTTTCCAGCCTGTCATCAAATCACGGAGATTCTTCATTTATTAAATTAACCATTTTTATTATTACAACACTCTTATAATATACGTGTATAGTATCTTTTTAATAAATAAGTAATACTAATACATAAATATGAGATGGCTGCAGCCACTTTCCGAGCGACGAGAGTCGTGAGATGGCCACTAATTCCGATCGATCGCTCGGACAATCGCAATCAAACCAATTTCATGGCTGAAATTCAAAGCTGTTACTGTAAAAATAGACGACGACAAGCCAGCTCGACTGCACGATTGCCGAATGGACGGCTAAAATACGTCGCGATATTTCTACCCGATTACTATCCGAGACTATAAACGAATCACCACCACCGGCAGACCAACGGAAATCGATACGTGTGTCAGACTCGATCTACGGGTTGCCACTCTTCGACGAGGGATATAATGTGAAAGAAATGTGCGATCAATAATGAAATAAATAGTAGGTATAAATACTCACAGATCGCATGGAGATCATAGGCGAGTCTCCGATCAGTCCTTCTGAGATTAGCTAATAAAAAAATAGCTACCAGAAATTCCACAGTTTTAAACTTATATCGATCCGCGAGTTTGTCTAATATGATCAACGCAATGTGACGCATGAAATTGATTGCGAAATGTGCGCTGATGAACGTGAAACTAGATGTGAAGTGTATATTTTACAAATAAATAAATAAATGAAGGGAATAAATAAATAGAGGACTAATAAAAAGGAAATTAATTAAGATTTCTTCGTCGCGTGACCGATCGGTGATTATCTGCATTGATGACGAATTAAATGACATTCGCGGGGATGATAACGAAGATGTGTTATATCTTAGCGTTAATGATGACAGTAAAGGAACGTGGTCCATCGATGCCGCGAAGTGGTCCGAATCAGTCGGACCGAATCAATTACGAGTCTTGATCACCCCATTCGAATTCCTCGCCGGAAGTAACTTCCTCAATTTGAGGTCCATCCTCAGCTGCCGTCGGTCCCGTTTGCGGCTTGCTCTCAGCCCCTTCTGGCTCCTCAACGAACGGATCTTCAGTCGTCTCGGGCTCCTCTTCGTGGACATTTTCTTCTTCGACCTGAAAGGCGAATTCCTTGTGATTCAACCCGTTCAATAGTATTCCAAGAAGTCTCTTTTCGACTATCGGTTCTTGAATGAGTTTAAACTCGATCCTTTCTCCAAAGAAATTCAAGCTATTTGAACACGAAGTTACTAAATCTGAATTTGTAATGAAATGGAATCTTTAAAAAGTTTAGTATAATCTAATATTAATATTTTTGCAGTTATAATATGTACTTTTATGTGTTATTTAGACTTTGAATTGTTCATATTGAATAAAAATCGACAAAGGGAAAATTTTTAAGAGAATTAACTTTAAAAAGAATTAAGTACACACAGCTTTTCAAAGCAATGCTTAAATGACTGTTTACCCGTGTTTCGTCATCTGTGGTAACATCATAAAGCTTCTCCTCCTTTTCTTGATCAGATATTTCGCCAAGATCTACCGGATCCTCAGCGCAGCTGGCGTCTTTGTTTTCATTGGTTGCAAGCTGTGTGACGTCCGCCTCCTCCTGCTCCTGCTTTTGATTTTGAACTTCCTCGAGATGTTCCTCGATTATCAATCGTTCTTGCTCCTGTATGAGCGCATCGAGATTTGCCTGGTTGATTATTCTGTTAACAAGGAGCGAATTAGATTCTAATGATATAGATATATAAAACGATAAAGAAGTATGATATAAATATTAATTTCCAGTAATTTTTAATAATATTAATAAATATAAAGCTAAATTTTTTTATTAATATTCCGAATACACTTATAAGTTATATTAATATTTAATTAATTTAGTTATTTTACCTGAATTTTATGTATTCTACAATAATTTTATTTAAAAGTTATATAATTTTAATTGTTTATATACTAGTTAATATAAGTTTATATATTAATTATTAATTATAGATATATACTCTCTCTTCATTTTAATTATTCTTTAATTGACAATTGGCATCTAAATAAAATAAAAGCTTGCTTTATATATATATATATATATATAGGACTTTTTTTTATTAAGGACAATTCGTGAATCACTATCGGGAGTTTTCTTCTCTAAGTAACGAGCTTACCTTTCCTCCTCTTCTATTCTGTTCACTTCCTCGCGTTCAGCTTGTAACTTTTCCTCTTCTGCTTTCCTCTCAGCTTCCTGCTGCTCGATTTCCAGTATCTGGGAAAGCTCAGCTTTTCGTTCCTGTGCAAGCTGCAGAGCCTCCCACGCTTTTTTCTCCTCCAACTCAAGCTGCAGGCGTTCCTCCTCTGCGGCCTTTCGTCAAAACAAAGTTATTCGCAATTGGGGAAATTGCCCGGACAAGCAAGTGCAAACAATGTAGAATATAAATAAAAATCGCTCATAGAAGAATAAAAAGTATAAGTTTTATAAAAATTAGAAATCTAAAAGTGAAAAGGGAAAGTAAAAAATATTATATTTATTTTGATACTAATTAAGGATGTGTAAACTTTGTTTTACCATTTTTTTATTATTTCGCGAGTCTTAAACCGCAATTTGGTTTTTCATTTTAATGTCATCTAAATTTTCTTAAACTTATGCGATGACATTTGAATAAAGTTCATATGAGATATTGTATTATGAAAGTAACGAAACTACAAATTATAATATTTGGAACCGTTAATTAGAAAAACACGCTGGTGTATGTCCGTATGTATGAAAAAGTTATTCATCAAGTTTTTTAATGAAGCTTGCATTCCAGATTTTTCGATGCACATTTCTCACATATTTGATTGCAAGATGAAACTATAAATTGCATAAATGCGAACTTTTTTTTTCAGGAAAGTTTCTTTGTGTTTAAAAATTTATATAAAACATTTTTATATTTAAAGTTACCATCATCACCGATATGCTACTAAATTATCAAGCTGACGTCGTTACTTTGACATTAGATGTCATTTTTTCATCAAAATGAAATTAATATCACTTTGATAAAAAAATAACATCTAAGTAATGATTTTGAAAAAATGACTTGCTAGGTAATATTACATGCTTGGAATTAAAATACCATACTTCGCTTATTTTAGAAAATTATTTACCGTACTTCAATTATTTAAAAAATAATAACAAATATTTTACTATTCTTTTTATGTTAAGAATTCTGAAATCTTATGTAAAATTTGAATATTCTTAATTAATAATTAATTGCTAGACGGAATCATGTGTTTTCGAACAGAGTAACATTTTACAAATAGCGAAAGAAGGTCAGATATTTGGCGAGTCGATTGTCGCAGGTCATATATTAGATTATTTGGCCGAGTTCAATGCTAATGTTACGCAAAATGATCGCGTTTATATCGAGTGACTATTTTGCGCGATGTTCTCTGCTGGCGTATCGTTCTTAAATTAAAGTCACTTACTGCGCTTCTCTAGCTGCTTTAGCAAGATACTCCTCAGCTCTCCTCATTGCATCTTCTCTGTCTTGCTTCACTACAATATAATCTCATTAGAATATCAATGATAGAGATGAACTTTTATGAAATTCACGTATGTTTAACGCTAAATACATATAACGCTGCACTCTTGCATATGTCATGATATATTGAATAAACGCAAAATTTAAAATATCTCTACGAATATATATATATAGAGTATAAAATTAATTTAACCATTTTAATACTTGGATAATTGTACCGAAGTATTATCAATATTAACGTTTATATTAATTTCATAACTTTTGTTTCATTAAAACTAATGTTCTTAAAGATAGTTTTTAGATAGATATTTTCTTTAAAATTCTAAAAGAATCAGTTTCACATTCGAAAGTGTGTTAAAAGTGCATCGTGCGAATGTGGACCAGAATGTGTTTAACCATCGCAGTTATACCTATTTTTTAATTCGATATTATCTTTATGTAAAACAAAGTAATTTCGAGTGAAATTATTACAAAAACAGGAGACACTTCACGAGGTAATCTCGAAGTCATTTTTATGAGGAAGACATTTATCACGAAAAAGATAAACACGGACACTATCTAGACTAGACACATTCATCCTCGTGCGATCGATATAGGAGATGCTGTTAACAATGACACAGACTATGATCAACCTTCTGCCTACTCCGATCGATATCCACCGTTTGCGTGACAGACTTATTTCCGGCCGCTGAAATGGAATATTTCCGGCCTACAATATCGACCGAGGTATAAACATACCCTTTTCTTCCTCAGCTTCGTCACTTATAGCCTCTGCACTTTCGATTGGCACATCCTGCGCGACTGATTCCGCTGGCACTTCTGGCTCTGAAACAGGCTCTGGTTCCTTTACCGGTTCTGGCTCCGGCATCGGCTCGGGCTCTGGTTCCTTTATGATTTCTGATTCTTTTACTGGTTCCGGTTCCGCTTTAGGCTCAACCGTTTTCGCGGATTTTACCGATTTCGCCGCTTTCGAGGCCTTTGCCGGTTTCGATGGTTTTACAGGTTCTGGAACCGGTTCCGGTTCTTTCGCAGGTTCGGGTACCGGTTCGGGCTCCGGTTCGGATTCCGGTTCACGTACCGGTTCTTCTTCCGGTTCCGGCTTCTTTTTCGCTTTCTTCTCCGATTTTTCTTCCGATTCCGGAGCGAGAGCTATGACGTCACAGGATGAATGTGAAGACAAATAATACAAAGGAATTGATCTGGATTTTGTTATTTTACACAGAGACTTACTTTTTTTTTCCTGGGTTGTTGAATCGTAGCCTAATGCACGTACTAAAAATTGTGAGAAGATGTTAGACGTGAGAGATACAAAAAAAGGGTCACAGTAAAACATCAATTACAAAAACATATAAGTATTCGAGTTTTTCTCGATTATTTAAAAAATAACTTTTAACAGATTTTATTGACGAATGTTTTGAAGTTGTGGAATTAATTACCTTGAAATTTTAATATAAGTATAATTTAATATAGTAAAAAGGAATAAATTATTTATAATAATGCTGTTCCACGAAAATATTATAAGATATTTTTTAAATAATTCAAATATATTTATATATGCCTTTATAATATTAATTTAATGATGTAATTTATATAGAATATAGAAATTTTAAATAATTCTGTTACAAAAATTAATTGCATTAACTTATATTAAATTATTTTCACATATTCTCATGTGTCTCTTCAATTTCAAAGATAGAATGTTAATATGATGTATGACAGTAATTATATGCTTATATAAAATTCTAACGTATGAATAGTATCCTATATTTACGTGATTTATGAGAAATAAAATTTATTTTTCTGCAGTAAATACGTCCCCACGATCGCGACTTTCTACCGAACTTTATTTTATTGTTATCTCAAAAAATTATTTTGTGTGCCTACTGACCCTTTCGCATCTCTCGATCTGTCATTGGCTGACCCGAGGCTGTGGGATACATGAAACATAAAGGATCGATTAGTGACAAAGGAAAAATTCTTTTGAAGCGCGTGACGTAAATCTAAGGAAGCAAAACTTCTCAGGACGTGATGTTAGAAAGCGATTACTATGATTACATACAACATCAATGTGAGAAACAATTGATGAGGCATGTTTGTTAGCTAATTATTAATCATGTAAAACAGAAGTACACAATTTTATGTACGTATATAGCGATATGCGACGAATGAATAAAAAAGAGAAATAAGTTATAATAGTATTAACGATGGAAGCATTTTGGACTATGTTCAAATTCTCATTCGAGTGTCACTCAAATATCATTTTATCCTTGTTGTTCACTGAATATTAAACAATGATACTTGGAGAACACTCAGGAATCTGAACGCGTCCCCGAGGATTAAGGATGAATCATCGAGCTCATTTTCGATTACGCGAAAATATCGCAAATTGATGTCTTATCGTCAATGAGATTGGTAATTAATGATATAGACAATTCTCGTCTTTTCTCGTGAAAATGATTCACTGATCGTCACGATTTGATTAGCGTGACGTTAGAGATCACACTCGATTATATCTAATGCTTGATTTGTCGGATTTTTGCCTCTGATACTTATTATATAATCAAATGTTTTACAGTCAGATTATATTAATTGAGTAACTTTTTGTATTTCAATCTCTTTTTTAGTTATAAATTCCTCCTTTACTTCATAAGTAACATAATAAATGTGATTTTTCGAGTTATTATGAATCAGTTAAATAAGCATTACCTTAACAATCATCATAAGTGAACTAATTTAACTGAATAAAAATGTAAAAAAATCGTCACAACTAAAAAAAGGTGACTTTTTAAAGGATATTTGGTTATTTTGTGAAACAAAAATAACATTTGACTATGTTAAGAATATATTAGTTTTGTCAATATTTTTTGATTAAACAATAATTTTCTGTCAAGTTAAAGATAGTTTGAGCTTTATTCTAAAAGACTTAATTTTTTTAATTGTGTGTCACTTTTGAAGGAAGCGATATTTATAACATAGATTTTTATCGTTACACGCAATTTTGCGATGCGTGTAACGATAAGAAACACTTTAGAAACATTTCAGAAATTAAGAAACACTTTAAGAAAATAATTATTAAATGCAGTCTGATTGAAATAGCTTTCGTTAAAATCTAAATCTTTTTATGTCTAAAAAAATATATTTTTCAAACAGAATGTTTAAAATGTAAATAATTATTCCAGAATAATTCATCTTTTTTTTTTTCTTTTTAAAAGCGTTAATACTGATCGATTCTACAAATATTAGATTTCAGAGACAAAATGAGACGTCGTTGGTTAAACTACGAAGCATACGAAGAAGCTTACCTCGGAAACAGTGCATTTATTCGCTACGTAGCTCGTCTACGTTTCCATTATTCTCCCTCGTGCAAAGTAAAGTAATTGACTTGGAGACTCTCGCTTCCATCGGACATTATTATTTTATTCATATATTTTTCTTTCGCTGCTATTTTACAAGCATGAATAGGATTTAGAAAATTGAAACAATAACGAACATCATGATACAATACGTGCAACATCGGGTTAGTTTCTACATTTTTATATTTGTTTCTCTTTTTTTTTTTTTAATGAACGCGCACAGATTTCGCGGCTTTTGTCGCATCAATTTAATCGATTCTCTTTTCCCCTGTCTGTATTTCGTACTTTGTTCTTTCTCTCGTATTCGTTTCACTTCGTAGATCACATCGATCGAGAACAATCATTTTGATAGTCACGACAATTTTACACGTCCGTTGCAATTTCATTAAAGTCCATCGAGTAAAAATTGAATGAAGAATGCTCGGAAAATATAGCACGTTCTATGATTATTGCGAATATCGACATATTGGACTTTAATGAAGCGGTCGACGAGCACACGACCGGAATAGAAGAAAAGAAAAATAGAAAAAGTGGAGACGGATATTAGATTTTTTCGATCGTAACTACCCCCAGTAGCCAGTAAAATAATTCCGTTCGAAGAGGTGTTTTGCCAGGCTTGCGAACCGAATATAAAACCGTATTAAAAGACTAACAGAAATAAAATTTAAAAACTGAAATGTACAAAACTCTTAGTCAATTGCTGTAATAAAATTAAAAATAAAAATAAAAAGGTGATATTAAATTTATATAAAGTTATTTCATTTCGCGGCGAAAATTTTAGCATATTTGCATAGTTCAACAATTTTATTTCAAAAAATGATATTTTATTATTAATACAATCCAATTCACTCCCACATGAGATCATGTTTGTATTTGTATCATCTAGTTTCGTTTCGAAAATTTTATTCTTCTCGTTATTATTTCTCTATAGATTTTTTGTTAATTTAAAATTCTTTTTATTTTTTAACATAAATTTACCGAACACTGTTTTATCTGTAATTTTCATTTTTATACATTTTAATAATTCAAACCTCATTGACGTAAGCAGGCTCGCTTAAAAAATTGAAGAATAAATTCTTATCGTAAAAAGAAGATAGAGAAGTCGTTTTCGGTTTGCAATCCTGCAGCCTCCGCATATCGCACGATGCCTGTCGTATCTTTTCACGCGCGGATACATCAGTTCCGGAACGCAAAAGCGGACGGTATGATGCCACAGTTCGTGTGATGATGAACGAAGATCAAAGATCACTCCTCGGCCGTCTCCATCCCTTCTTCCTCTTCAATGAGCGCGCTTTTCTTGCTCGGCTCCTGGTACAGCTCCGGCACCTTCTGCCTCCAACACTTGCCTGAAATGTTCAAAAAAGCCGCACTGCTTCCTCTCTCTCATTTTTGCTCTTATCGAGCACCGTAAAATTCTGCTTTTGGCGCGTGATCCCAGTCTGATGTTCCGCCTGGAGTCCCCGTCGTGTAAATGTCTTGCTCTCTCTCGTTCCTTTGTTTCTTTTGATTTGGTTCACGGTTTTCTTTTTGGTCACTATGTCGTTTTCGCTGTGTTTTCCGATTACCGCAATAAAAAATAGCGATATGTCCGTTGGTTCGTAAAAAAAGGATGCGAACCTCTGTCGAATCGATGGATTGATTTCACCGATATAGTCAGTGATGAAATTAATTTTTGGAAAGAGCATATATAATTCAATCTTTTTACGAATAAATAAAAAAATTAAATATAATTAATTTTTTCTAGTAAAATTTTGTATCAAACTTAAAAATATATAAATTATTTTTCACGAAAAAGATTATTAATTGAAATTAATATTTATGCTCTTACCATGAAGATCAATTCAATTGCACGTTCGTTCCGCAGAATAGTAATAATAATAATAATAATAATAATAACGCGTTGTGTCACGATATCGTTTGACGAGGTGGTTATCAAAAACGGATGCGGGGTACGTGGGGGGTAAGTGTGTACGTTGCTGTTGTACGATTAGACACAATACTATCGAACAGTAATGCAGCCACGACAAAAAAAGACGTACAAAAAGAAAGATCAATTGTTGTGTGACCAACAATAAAACAGCAAAAATACCAGAGAAACACACGTGCTCGCTAGCACAAACAAAAGTTTTCAGACAGTGTAAACCAAAGGTGCCAGCCAATCCAAATAAAGGGATGAAAAAAAAGTAGAGAAACGAGAGGGCAGGGGGTGATGGAACGAGAAAAAAAAAGTAGACAAAAAGAGAGTTGCACACAACGGCGTCGTGGGGCCGTCTTTTATTTTTCAAAATTTATTCAAAAATCATGTCTCGAGCCGCGAGAACGTAGCGAAGCTATTTTTTTTTACGGCTTCGTTTTCTTCAATACGTCTCTCTGCAAATAAAATTCTAATATTGAATGAAATTCTGTGAAAATATGTACTTTGAAGTTTTCTAATGAAAATGTCAATAGCATATTTTTTTAAATATAAATTTTTATAAAAATATAATCACGAAATATTATCAGCTGCAATTCAAAACAAATTTTAATCATCTTAACTAAAATTAAATAGTGATTATAAATTAAAAAAAATTATTTTACGTCTAATTTTTCTTTAAAAAATTCTTCGCTTCGTTTTCATCGGTCTCGCGCCTCTATGTTCTTCGTGTACGGATCATCATGTGTAACATCGTCAAGACGGGATTGTTCTCGAACAGCATTTCATTCCCGAAGAGCAATTTTTTGGAGACTGAAATGCGAATTGCGATACAATCCCCGTCTTCGTCGTCGTCATCGTCGTCATTGTCATCGTCGTCCTCGTCACCGTGACAGATTACTCACAGGCAGTCGCGGCCGCCTGACGATTCTTGCTGTAGTAGCTGAGGAAGTTGACGTCGTTGCGGATGTCGGCCGGCCGAAGATCCGCGACCTTGTAGTACGGTTTTCTGATGGACTGCGGCTTGCCAGCGACATATTTGATGCACGCCAGGGTGCCGAATGCACCTCGGTCAGGCACTTCGTACCAACTCAGATAATCAACCTGTTTCTTTGCGTTGCTGCGGCCGCTGAGCAGCCGACGGACGTAATCGTGGCTGCGCATACGTTCCGGGATGATCTCCTCGATGAAGTCACTGGAAATCGTAAAGAAATCGCTGATTATTTTAATAATCGAAAAACGATGAACTCAACTTTCTGTGACTTGGAAGAGTAATTCATCGAAAACCACGAAAAGTATTCACTTTACTTAATGTTTAATCTTTGTAAAAAAAATTGGTTTTTTTTCTAATAGAAAAATATCAGAATCCAGGACAAGGAAAATTGATCAAGAATCTAGTACATTTTTTAAATTACAAAATGTCCATTTGTAGCTAAATGAAAAATCAGTAAATGAGAACTTATACCGAGTTTGATTTAAATATTTATGTCAAATATTATTTTTAATATACATATACCTAAAAAAATAAAATTTTTTTAGATATATGTATATTAAAAACGAGGTTTGTTGTTTTTTCATAAAAAAAAAATTTCATAAAAAACATTTAGTTTTTTTTTCTGTTTGCATCTCTAGCTATATTTTACTGTTTTCTCATGGATACAACACATAATATGTATGGTATACCCGATCTAACTTTGATTCGTATGATTTCAATAAAAATAAACATATTTGTAACAAATTTGTTTTCATTTAAAATATCAAATATTAAAAAATATAACGGTATCAAGCAAATGTGTGTATCTTTACTAGTTATAAAATTGTAAGTGATAAAGTAAACAGAAGTTTCGAAAAAAATTATTTATGCATATAAAGCCGAGTATGCCATATTGAGAGTGGCATTAAAGAGTTTGTACCTTTATCTCCGAGTCACAGAATTATCTTGATTATTTCTATTCTAGAATATCGATTGATTCATTTAGCATACGAAGTTGAATGCGCAGTTTCCTTTTTCTAATGATTAAAGATCAATTCAAGTGATATTAATGCTAGACTTCGATTAATTTAATTGAATAATTAGTTGCACACCATTTTATTTTCGTCGGATACCTTGCCACTGCTCTTGGCACGAACACATGGACACGTCGAAGAAGAGAATCCACTTTCGCGCGAATATCCCTTGCCTCATCGTCGAAAAGCTGCGAAGAGATATATATGAAATGTTACTTGTATGAATGAGAGTCGATCAATCTCTTGCATGCATTCAGAGTTTGATCATCGTAAACGTGAATTATTTTTTAAGTTTGCACTTTTTTTCGTATTATCGTATATTTTAAGGGTAAGTACTTGATAATAATAGTTTAATATCTTATGATAACGTATCAATTACACGCGAAGAATCGGATTTAAGTGCATATGTTGTATTAATAATTACGATTAATTGCGATAAAAATGAATCTTTAAACATCGGTCACAGTATTAGCTCTTTTATTTTTTAAATCTAATAAGTTTACTGATTAATAAATAAAATTAATAATTAAATAATAACTAATAAATTCATTATTTAATTTAATACATTAATTTACAATAAATTAATGAAAAGAACTTCGCCCATTTTATAGATTTGGGCCATCCGTGTACAGAGACGTATGTCAAATTGCAGAACATAGAGAGTAGAGATCTGTTTTTTTTTAGCTAAAGCTCTTGCACAGTTCATTGATCTGTCTTCCTTTTCGCTTTATTAGAGAGAAAAAGAGAAAAGACAAATCATGCAAGAAATTCAGCTAAAAAGAACAGGTCTTAGATTATAATTGTATAAGTGGCAACAGCTAGAACAGCTGCAGATCAATTAGTGTTAGGACAATGTGATGTGTGAGGTATGGAGTTTGCTATTTATGCTTTTAATCGACTATGGTCTTTTATTATACAGTTAAAAATATTGTACTTCTAGATCCTTTTTTTCATCCAACCTCTAGTTTCATAAGATTTATTTCTGTGTCCCCAAGGCACCTCTTTACAATGATGACACATATAAAAATAGTGCTCGCACTGTAAGTAATTATTGTATTTACATCACGTTACTCATTTAACATCTAGGATATGTCAAATATGTCAATATTTTGTTGAAGATATATATGGATATTTTCTAAGAAGAACATTACATATTTCTCAGTTTTGATAACTCTGATGATGAGTTACTGAATGAATAGGATAACATCTTTAAAAGACTAGAACTATTTTTGGCAGAGATTTAAAAAACTACTTAATATTATTATTATTATCTATATAAAATGATATGCAATTGATAACTGTATGCCAAAATGGCCGAAGTTCTTTAAACAATCATTAACTTAACAACTTCTAATCTGTTATAAAAGACGGATGAACACATTCATCTTTTGCAACGACGCGATTCCGCCCATGATGTCTAACGCAGATGAACGTTGATGAAAAATAATAATAATGATGTTGATGATGATGGGAATGACGATGATGTACCAAATCTTACCATGATTTTAAACTGACTTAAATCAGAGAGAAAGAGAGAGAGAGAAAGAAAGAGAGGGAAAAATGATATTAGACTATTAGTTGCCGGACTTACTATGTTGTATCGAGAATTTAGATACTCTTCAATGTAGGATCGGCTAGATGGTCTCGGCAGGGCGCGTATCCTGTTGAACTCAGCTGCAAGGATGCTGGGCCGCACGCGCGTTCGCACTCTTATCGGTATCATTGCGCCAGCGTAGTACACATGATGGATCGGCGAGTGAACTATGGTGACGAGTCTCTTGTGTGCCACGTATGGCATGTGAGGAACGGTCCTCAACTGGAGGCAACGAACGTCTCGTTTTTACTAATCGCGCTCGCCCAGCAGTGGCGAGCTGCCAAGCGGATATCTTGCTACGAGTCAAGATGTCAAGCGATTTACCCTTTTGGTGACGGTTATTATACGTATATATACATATGTATTATCATAAATGTAAATTTATAGGCTTTTTTTGGAAACACGAAGAAAATAAATCAAGGGAAAAATTCAAGGTGATAAAAATAAAAATTCCAGGTGATAAACATTCTCAAGCTTTTACTTGAGAATCATTCAATTATAAAAAAAAGATTTGTTCTCATAAGGAAAGAAGATTATAAAAGAATTTAAAGATTCAATAATTTAAATATTTAGAAATTAAATTCGTATGTTATATAAAAAAAATTTTATTTTTTATTATCTTCAACATTTTTACGCTTTAACATTCAATAGATATTTTATATGTATTATTTTTAATATTTTTCTCATAAATAAAAAACCTTCACCAAAGGATTAAGAATAGCAAAGCGTAGCATTCGATGCGTTCCAGCGATGAACAGCAACCAAATGATCGATATGCAAGTGACGTGCACACAAAAGGTTTCAACGCGTAATTATATTAAGGAAGCTTTGAACATATGTTCACGGTCTGTCACGAATGACAACAAGGGGATTAGCAGTGCGTTACATTACCTTGAATTACGCGCGACACCATCAAGATGAATATTACTGCGATGAGGTAGCGCTTTAGAATTAGTAAACATCGAGATCTGAAATTAATTAATGCAAGACGCGTGAAATTAATTAGCGTGAGAGCGGCAAAGCGTCGTTACATCTATTTCACAAATACTTTTTTAAAAATTATCTACAAACTTTGCGTAATATCCTGTTGATAATACGGGAATTAATGTAGTTGATTATTACAGAAAGATCACAAAATAAATTAGATATTTATTATCATCGCGAGGTGTTATTACTATCAAATCAGACAACTACTGTATTAAATTAATTTTACAGTGTGTCATAGCTGTGAAATATATATATATATATATATATATATATATATATGCATAATCACTTTTTAAGCTTTAAAATTCTTAAATTATTTTTAAGTTCTAAAAATTTGAAATTAAACCAATAAAAATACCAATATAAAATTTGAATAATTTATGCGAAATTTTTGTTATTTCTTTTGTATAAGATTACTTGAATTTATTTTTATTTATTATATTTTATTCGTATTATTTATTACATCAATTATGTTATATTTTCATATACGTTTATTGTATTTGAGTTATATTTTTGCATAATTATTTTAATTATAGTTTTTCGAGAAAAACATCGATTCAGTTATAGAACTCGCGCAAAAAGATACCAGTCGATTCTGATTATCAATTTGTGTCGAGAATATTAAGTAATATTATAATAATTAAATTTAACAATTCCTCAAAGAACACAGCTTTTAAAAATTTTTTTTTTAATTTAATTCGATTAATCTTTTGGTGTCACTTCATCGTTTTGTCACGTATCTACCACACTATTGTGAAAAATATCACATAAAAATGAACATATAAATTTTTTTCAATTAAAACGCCAGACATCAAAGAATGTAAGAAGGTAACAAGCAAATGTATGTATCTTCATTAATAAAAAAGTTATAATATATCAAAGTAAAAGAAACTCTACGAATGTGTCCACACTAGAAGTGACACTGAAGGTTAAGATCTCCAGCAAGACAATTTTAAAATTCAAAAATTCAAATTGAACTGCTGAATTTACACAAAGTCTTTGGAAGACAAACCAATTGATGGCAAGTTACTTGATTGTTTAAAAAAAAATAGAAACTCGCGGAACCCTAAATCGAAATGAAAGTACGAGTTGGAAAATTTGCTATGCGGAGATCAGAATCGACGATCGCACCTGTTGCGCTTCCGGTAATGATAGTCGAGTTACGTATTAAAATCGTAAACCATCAGCAGGTGAAAGTACCTACCTGGATGACGCTGGAGAGTGGTATGACATTGCTGGAGAACGGTATGATGGTAATGGGTCGATACTGCGCCGCGTTTACAGACATGGGGAGGGTTACATATATATTTTTTTTATTTTATCCATCGAGAATTCCAACGATGACGGCATCGATGGTAGTGGCGGCGGTGACGGCGGCGGCAAAGGACGAGGAGTCACGTGTGGGAGGCAGAATAAATAGAAAGAAGAACAACTCGGTTAGTGATTCGGGTGGCGTCTGCGTATCGTTCTTTCTTCTTCGTATTCGTTTTTCTCTCGCTATCCCGTTTGCCTCGCGCTCGCTTAACGGCGTCTCGAGAGGATGGATCAGGAGGGATGAGAAAGAGGTCACCCCTCCCATGAGAAAAGGAAATAAAAAAGTGGAAAGGTTGTAGGAAGGTTCGTATGCCGCGACGGTTTTCTTTTCGTGACGCTCGAGGTAATTGACTTGGCCAATTGTCGCGTTGTGTGTCTATCGAGATGACGACGGCAACGACGATGATGATGATGATGCCGATGATGATGATGATGATGATGATGATGATGATGATGATGATGATGATGATGATGATGACGATAATAATAATGATGATAATGATAATGACGATTATGACGATGATGATGATGATGACGATGAATGTTGTTAGTAGAGTTTACTTCGCGGAAAGATGCTAAATGGAAAGTAGCTCTTAACGTCCCGCTATGACATCACAGAAAATAACCATAATTTCAGGACGCAAAATAATATAATCCGATCTTAACTTTCCAGAATATGTAGAATAGTCTCCAAGAAGTGTAGCTAGTATGTAAATATGCTTAAAGTGATTTTAAAGTGACAGAATTATTAACATTACGAGTTAGAAAGTACTCCAAATTGGCTGTACAGATTGCAAAATCCTTTTACAGAATTAAAATACATACAAAAAAGGTGGGAGACGGTTGATTTAACAAGAAGATTGAAAGTAGTTAAAAAAAAAAATTTAGTATTAGTGCATTTTTTAACTTCTTTTATTTTTTATTAAATCAATTGTCTCGTACTCTTTTTTATGTATTTTAATTATATATTTGTTTATGTACTTTAATTATATAAAAGAATTTTAGAATCTATATATTGCAGCCAATTCGGAGTACTTTTTACCTGTATTGTCGATAATTCTGTCACTTTAGGATTTCTTTAAAGATACTCAAATAATTATCAATGAAAATTTAATTATTTCTCCAGTCTATTTTAGAAAAGTTCAGATATCAATTTTGAAACAATTTAATTGAAATGTTTTAATATTAATAAATGACGTGATGTTACTGTAAGTATCATGGCAGGTCAGTTCGTAAAGAATTAATTAAAATCTTCTATTATTATTCCATATACTTCTTTATTATTCAGTTCTTATATTATCTCAAGATGATATCGCGCGCATGTCTAGCGTCCAAATAAGAAACTATCTCATAAAATATTGTTTTATCTACATTATACTGCTTTTTCTTATTTTCTGAAATTATGATTGCGTAAAAATTGCGATGTATATTTCGTAGGACGACGCTTTTTTGTAGGAATATTGGGGCGACACAAAATCGACACTCGTTACTCTAGAAATATAATTTAAAAAAACGTTCACTCGGGTTGTACGACAAGTAAAACATCCCCAAGGGAAAAGAAAGACGTGAGTTAGAGGTCACAGCACACAAATAGTTTAAGCAGTAAAGCCTAAGTGAATTGGCCAAACATAGTAGAGATCATAACGTAAACAGCAGTCAATCCAACATATTGATTTTCTTACTGCTTACGTCTTACTTAAGTTTTTTGTGTGCCATGGCCCTTAAGCTAATATTTCATTTGTCGTATAATAAATTTTTTTAATATTTTTTTTCACGTTATAGATTCAAAAATTTAACTTGAAATTAAAATGAAAGCTCTTCGCAGATTTGATAAAAGTTCAGAGATATCAATTTTAAAACACTTAAGTTGAGATTTTTTAATATTTTGCATCCTGCAGAATGAACACGACAGCTACACGTTTCTCCACAATCGGAAATAAATGTAATTAAAATGACTACATAATAGAGAAGTTCTCGAGTTTCCAAAATTTTCTTGTGATCAATTAACGTATTTGAAAAATTTGTCGTATGGCAAATGAAATATTGGTCTTAGAATGGAGGTATTAGGAAGCAAACATTTAAATTAACACACAAACGATTGCACAGTTTGCGAGACTTGGGATGCCTGCAGGCAGCGTTCGATTCACGATTGAGTGTCGACGTCAATTTACATAGGATACATACAAATCTTTACAGTGCTGTTTTATGCGATTTATTGCCGTGGTTGTTTACAATTTCCGCTAGTTGCGCGTTAAGCGCGAAATTCCGGAGAGTTCGTTCGAGATTCATGATGTACAAAATCGGATATGTATACATGATATATTTTTGGAAGATCAAAAATCTACTCTCTATATCATCGATTATCGCACAAATTTTATTACTAAACTCGAGAAAAATATCAGTAAAATGTAACTCTTACTATTTATAGTGCAACTAGCTCTTAATTTATCTCTAAATGCAGCTGCGTGATGCTCTATCTCCGACTCGGGCTACGGCAACAGCGATAATTACAACAGAATAATAACATCAAAAATATCAGGAGTTTTTCTGCCGATCCGCTGATGCACATTCAAAGCGCGAAATTCATCATCTTTTAATCAAAGACATTTTTAAGAAAATCAAGCGTATAAAATTGATACGAGGAGAGAAACAAAAAGGAATTTTAGGTCGGCATGCGACAAAAAAGACGATATTCCGCTTTTATCGATATCGACGACCAAATCAATATCCATTTGAAATTCTGCGACTTTTAATGATTTTCAATTCAATAAACAAAATATAACGAAGTGATCTTTCTTGCGGAGAAGAAAGTACATTTATTTTCAATATACTTTACACGTTCTTGTCATTACTGCCACTAGATTTAACTTCGCAATCTCTGCCGAGAGGAAATCTCCGTCGACGACTCGTAAGATCTAACATTGTAATTTTCATCAAAAGGGGAAACTATCTCCGTCATCGATCTGCTTTAAAGCGTCCTTCCAAATGGCGCGACTCGATTTCCGTATATTTCTCACTTCCAGCCGGTTTTACTAATATTGCAGGGCGTGTTTGCGACATTCGCATCTACATGTTCTTCAACACAGAACAGATGTACCGCGAATAGCAGGTCTGTGGCATTTCACGTCGGAAATGATATATCATTCACGCCTCGCGCGTTGAGATACCGCAGATCCGCTACCGTTGAAAAATCATCCGATGAGATGGCAGAGAATCTGAAAAGGTCGTCGAGATCGATGAGAACGGAAACGCGATCGGCGTGAGGGGGTTACGCCGGGGATCTAAACGCGGTAGGAGTAATGGCGGTAGCTGGTGCCGCCAGGTAAACGACCGGAAGCGGTAGATTCGTAGGAGGAGCGATAGCTTCCGGGGCCGCCGCCGGATGATGTCCTGGTTGTTTCCTGGGTCTGCGAGGTCCTCTGAGGACGGCCGTACGGATTCGTGGAGCTGCTCGAGCTGACGTTGGTGTACGAATAGTTGTACTGCTCTTGGGCGGACCTCACTCCGGTCTCCGGATAGTCGCGGACCACATAGTGACGAGGCGTCTACGGATTCGGGGTTAGATCATGGTCAACGACATGGAGGAGAACAGGCTCGCTTCCGGAAAAATGAAGCAGCGCCCGTTGACGAGTAACGGCTACTTGACTTTTAGACTTGGCACACGACATCGAAAATGCAAAGCAACGTAACTCCAATTGACAGAATATTGTGTTTAGGAATTATTCAGGATTATCAATAAATGAAAGAAAAATTATAGATAATATACTGTAAAGTGGATTCCCATAATATCCCCAAAAAAATCAATAACATCACAATAAAGTCATGATAATGTGCGAGTGTCCGCTTTGTCACAGGTGTGATATATAATATTATTATGAAACTGTGATAAAAATTGCAATTCACTGTGATATTGCTGTAATATACATACTTTCTAAATCTCGTAAAGTAAAATCTCATTGTCAGTCGAAAAAATTGAAAATTGAACCAGTCTTGAAAAAAAAATCTATTCTTCTAGAATGAGATTCATTCTAAAGGAGTGAAATCTCAATCTCTTTTTTGGAGTATAATACAAGTGTAAATAAAACCTCACTCCAAAAAAGAGATTGAGATTTTACTCCTTTGGAGTGAATCTCATTCCAAAAGAGAAGTAGATCTCGCTTTAAAAAGAGTGAAAATCTACCACTCTTGTGATAGATTTTCACTTTTTTCAAGATTGGCTCAATTTTCAGTTTTTTCGAGTAAGATTTTATTCCACGAGATTTAAAGAGTAGATTAAAAAATCATAATGTGATGTTACTAACTATTATGAGTTCATTGTGATGTAAATGTGATTTTTTTTACTATGGAGGAATAATTTTGGCCCAAAATTTAATAGATAGCATGTTTTTAAGATATTTTAACACATATTGTCTGGGTATCAAAATTTAGAATTAAAGTTATCCTGATTTTGGACCAAGGTTATCTTATTTTATGGTACATAAAGATAGTATTTTGATAGAAACATTAATATTAAAGAATTATTTAATATAATAAAGTTTCATAAATAATAATGATTCTAATTTTATGATAATAAAAGTAAATTTTTTATTTATTTATTCAAGCCTTAGGCGTGAATATAAAAATCATGCGCCAGACATTATTCTCGTCTCAGGACGATCTTCGCGGTTTTCCATCCGCGGGCCATAAGTGGATTGTCGGAGCGGGATGTAGGGTTGCGTCAAAAAAATCTACAGATTCTATTCACATGAGAGATTTCACGATCGATTTATCTCGTCGGAGAACAGGTTGAATATTAACACATTTAATATAATTTCGAAATTATAAGAGAAAATATAAGGCATTTTTCGATAATTAAACTTTAAATAAAATTGTATTTTTAATTTAATTTTCAATAGATTTTAATAGACTTTTTAATTTAATCTTAATTGTGACAGAAACATTTAATATTAAAACTTGAAAACTTGCCAAGCAAAAGTTGAATTAAATCACTTAAAGAATATAAAGGATAAAAAATTGTTCACTCAGTTTAGAACACATTGTTATCATGTAGAAATAGATTATAATTTTTTCCAGTCACTTCGCCCTTTTTTCTGTTTTTTTTCTCTTTCTCACGCGTTTCATGATAAGATCATCTTCCTAAAATATCATTTGGCCCTGTTCTCCGGCCGAGAGAAGCACGAGACATGCGAGGCGAAAGACGTGAAAGATGGAAGGTGGACGAACAGGTGCGTCGCTGCGTCGTCTGGCTCGACGGTGTCCATAACTACTCGTATTACTCGCGAATAATTAACCCGCGTCGCGCGGATAGCAGAACATAGTAACGTACTCGCGTTTGCCAGTTCATCTATTCTGAGAGAGAAAGATTTACGGAGTCATTTCTCATCTCTGTGGATAAAGTTTAGCTGATAATATCGCCCAGATGGCCGGCTGGGCTCGCGGCCAGATAAGGAGAAAGTTGGCAGGATCTAGACGACACTGGAGAACCCGTTGAGCTCTTACGAGCTCGGTTAACCCTTTGCTGCATTATTTCACGTATGTACTATTTCACGTTAGACATCCATCGTCCGTAATTTTAATTCCCAACATAATTACATTTCTTATTAATTACATTTCTTTTTTGTTATATTATGAAAGATAATATGTGCAACTATCGTGTTTATCCTGCAGCTTGAGAACTTGAAGAGTTTCAATTTTAATTTTAACTTTTTGAATCGAAGTGAAAAATATCTTATCTTTTTGAGATAACGTCTACTAATTATTCTTTTACTTTGCATCAATTAATTTCACCGCTGGCCACGTGATTTTGATAATAATCACGGAAAGAACGATTTTGCTGAAAGATTTAAAATTTTGCTGGATACAGATTTGAAAATAATTTTGTTAGACAATCAAAATATAACTTTTTTAGAAACTGATTATTAGAATATTTGCAGCGTTCACTCATCACTTTATTTTTCAACATAATTATTTTGATGGTCGAACAGAATTATTTTCAAATCTGTATCCAGCAAAATTTTAAATCTTTCAGCAAAATCGTTCTTTCCACATACATTAATCGTGACGACGAATTATGGTGCAAAGAGTCAAGAACTCGTAAGAGGGTGGAGTCGAAAATGGTCAGAACATGAGGAATTTTTTTCTCGTCATTCATACACAAAAGCGAAAGTATGATGGATCTCGGCGACATATTTGCGGTAATAACATGTTCGATCTATCTGTAGACACACAACGTGCGGGCCAATTATATAAACGCGGAGCGGTATGTAACATATGCATTAATAATGTCCCCCTGACGAAATATTCAGGACACTGAGCGTTGGGCAACGATACGCGGCCCTTGCCAAGTAACTCGTAGGTAACATTCGGATACGTGTGTATGTTGGCATGTGACAGGTGTACGTGTGTACGTGATGAGAATGTTTTCACGCATCTATTCCGCCACGTGCGCGTTCGGTGTCCCGTTCCGAAACTTCTTCGACCTTCTTCGAGCACGAAACTTCGTGGCGGATTGCACTAACGCTTCATTGAATCTAATTACCGTTAAATCGGAGTCGCTCGATCAGTCGAGCATGTTCTCACGTCTGCAGCTCGGAATAGAGGAGAATTTAACTCCGACACGAAGCTTCGTTAATTCGAACAAGATCGAAAATAGCTAAATAGAATTTAATTGCAAATTCAACTACGAATTATGTTCTTTTTTGTTCCGTTAAAGTTCGAGAAAATTAGCGAGATCTTTTCTTCTTATCTATCTTATAATGAAATCTAAATAGCGAGGTAAGTTCTTTCACTCGTAATCGCGTAACGTCGCTTCTTGCGAATTCTTTTCGCAAGTAAGAATTCTCTTCTCGTCGCTTCAGTCTGTGATGCGACTGTAAAAATTAATGCCAAACAATTTAGTGTGGTCATACAAGGCAATTAAAAGTTACTGCTCTCGGAAGGGGTCAAAAGTTAGGACGCCGTACAAATGTATATGAATAAGGTATTAGAAGACAACATTTTTCGCGATCATGAAGTCTTAATAAATCCTTAAATGTCAACGTTCTAAGCATTTAATAAATATATTTGTTATATCTAGCTCAGTTGATGATAATGGAAGAAGAATTAGGGGGAGAAGGTTTAATCAAAATCGATGGTACGCGCGTGATTATGTTAGATATAAAGGGATTAATTTAACTCTCGTTTAATTAATCTGGCATATTTCGTTTGCATAATCTGCGATAAATAGGCTTGGTAAACTTTCTGTAGAGTGACATTATAGCTTTATTCGTCTCGTATACATGGATGAATTAAGTACTGGTTCGCGCTAACAAAAAATTAGATTCAAATAATCATTTGACCAACAAGTCGTTACAAAAAAATGAAAATGTATTCGCGATATGAAATACAAAGAGAGATTTCACATATAATTGTTATTATAGCGTGATCGTTTAATTCTCATCTACAGATACAGATATGTATATAAACTATACGTAAGACATCCTGTTTGAATACGAATGAATCTTCACCTTGGCGATTGATAAAGGAAAATTCAAAGTTTTTTATCTACACAAGTGCACCTTTCAAATGAGTACGAGTAAGTAGGTAGAAAATATTACCACAAATACAGGTTGACGATATGATATTTATTTATGTCCATATTTCGACTTAGTTTTATTAACACACTGAGCTTAATTAAAGCTGAAACATTTATAATCATTTTATATATATAGGTATAAGAAAATTGAATATAATTATTTGTGAAAAAGACTTTGCATTGGTTTTGATACTACTTTCTATTTATTTTTTATTTCGTTTGAAAGCTTTTATCTCTTTGTTATTATTTTTTAATCTATAATTTAGAACTTTATAATATTAATCATATAATATTGTATCCGTCTAAAATTTTCGCTTCGTGTATTCGAGAGTTAATATTAGATTGCGAAAGAGGATTCCCGAGAAATGGGATCGTTTCGAGATTTATCACGTAAGAGTCGAAAGATGCGTGGAACGCTTTATCCGACGCGTCAATTCTTCTGTAAAAAAATGTGATTGCAAAAATTCTCACGCCATGAACTCGTGTTAAAAATTACAAATCGGAAATACAAAATAACTAGTAAATGCCGAGGATTATTAATATTCTCATATTACTTATTTTATTCATTTTACAAATCTATGAGAAAAAAATCGCTGCCAATCGCTTTGAAAGTGCGATTAGTGTTTAAATGTGAAGACATCCTTCTGCATCCAGAAAATGTAATTCATCAATTTTATTAAAATGAGTTACTAATCCGAAAAACTCCTACAAATAAATTTAACATTCCATAGAAAGTCTTCTGTATAAAAAATCGATGACTAGCTAACAAATAAGTCGACGAACTAATTCACTATCGATACATCGATGCACAATAAAAATATCAAACGTTAAAGAAAATTTGTATATAATTTTTAGAGGGCGGTGATGTATTTTTTTAAATCTTATAGCTTTTTTTCTAAAATTTGTTATAATTCATTATTTCTCGTTGTATTTTTTACATCAAAATATGATTTCAATGCCACTATAGTAGTTTTTCCATAAAGGTTAACATCAAGATATCTACATATAATAATTTCTACTTCATATCTGCGGAGGCGATTCATGCTAAAAAATGTAACGTATATCTCATAAAAATGTCAATATTAATTTTTTCTCGTGAAGAGTGTTCACGAAGTTCAACGTCCTCATTTCTCTTTCTTTCTTCTCGTTTCTCGTCGTTAAAATCGGTACCAGGAAGGCGTCTGCAGAGCCAACAGGATTTTAGTACGGCCAGTGGCAGGCGTGTTGGCGTGCCTGACCTTGCTGGACGGCCGTGCGAGCACGCCCTTTTCGAAAACATGACCACGGGTGGCTAGCTCGGCAGCAGCATCCAAGCCAACTTTTGAAACAGCTCCACGATCCACCAGCTGTCGAATATGATCCTCCTTGGCAACGTCCTTACCACGTACTACACCTTCCTTGTCCGGTAGAGTGGCGTACTGATAGAACTCATCACGAGGGTCCTGCTTCTTGCGACCCCACACGGTGAAAGGCTCCGGCACCAGCGACGGTCGTGGCACAAACGGCACCTTCTCCCATGGGAAATAGTCCTGCTTCTTAGCTTCCGTCTGCAAATTTGAGCCCGGCAAAGGGTCCGTAAGGATCACTAGTCCTTGAGCCATTAGTGATCAATTAAGGGCAATTAGCCACCTCTCAGTTCTCAAGTCTCTCGCGATTCCACTCGTATCGCACACAGTCTTGGAGCTTATCCGTATTACAAAGTTTCTCAAATTTGTCAAGCTGTTGCTCACCGACATCTTCGAGCTTCCACACTATTCTCCTACTACTGCCATGTCTGTTCTCTTTGTTAAACCACGACGTCGTCACGGTACCGCTCGTGTGTCGTTCTCCTCGATGTCCCACCCGATGGATTTAGATTAGGATCCCAGATAATTTTAACTTTTTCTAACCATCAATATCCACCATAATCCGAATTCTTTTTTCTCAGATCATAAGATAATCTCGACATTTCGTGTGCAAGATTATCAGATGATTTAATAATCTAACATTACTTTAAGATATCTTCAAGATGTCTTATTTAGAATTGGTTTTATACGATTTTTTTAAATTGTATAATTTCAATTGGTAATTTAGATAGTATATGTATACGTAAATAATAAAAAGTTGAGAAAGTTGCTTGATAAACCGATATTTCAATAACGAAATATGTAACAATACATATGTACACAATTTTTATGTAACTGAATATATACATATAGTGATGACATTTTTATAGACTGTGTTACATTCAAATTGATCATGACATATATATATTTGAATTAAAAAATTTAATAAAATTTGAATGAATAAATATTAGGCAATTTAGGCAGTCAGTAATATAAATAAAATTATACATGCTCCGAAAAGTGTCTAAAAGATAACTTTCAGAAAACCTTGAAAATATCTTTAAAATGTCTTTTGGTTAAAGTCTTAAAGACGTTTTGAAAAAGATATGCCAAAGGCACACGTGTTATCTGAGAATGGTGCTCCAAGAACTTGACAGCCAAGCTCTCACACTCGCCCCCGCAAATTCTCAAGTGCTGATCGTCTTTAAAATGTCAGACGTATGCGCTTACGCATGGTTAATAAAAACAACAGAAATACGTCATTAATCTTTCTTGAAAACTTCCTTCTATTATGGTTACGTATTTGGCAATCGCTAACATAAAATGATACATGTTACCAAAACAACGCACGTTTATTTAAACCAGATTATATCTAGATATCTTAATGCCATTATTGACTTACATACAAATTACATAGATAATTAATTAATTGGCAAATTTCTAAAGAAAGAAATGTATAAAAAAAATAGAAACACAACGTTTATTACCTATAAAGTATAAAAAAATTTTTTATGATATTATAAATGTTTTACATTTACATATTTATAAACCGATAAAATAATGACATAAATTATATCAATTATTTTGTTTAGCAACAGAATTAGTTTCTATTTTTATACTACAGAAATACCGTGGAGAAAATTTGTTATAAATGTACACCATTTGGAAATAAAACCCGAAGAGATCATATCTTCAAAGTACTTTTTTTCGGAGTACTTATTTCTGACAAAAAAGGGTTGATATCAAAACTTGTTGTTGACTTTTTTATTTTTTTCATCTACTAAAGATTGGAAAGAAGCGATCTTTTAAAGTAGTAATAAACTACATTTGTCCGACAGCCAAAGCTCGCGCACAAGAAAAGCTCAAATTCCCATAACATTCGTCATCATTCTGCTTTCCTGGCGGATCGTAAAGACGTCATCATAAAACGACGCGATATAGTCAAAGCGCAGATATCATTTATCTTCGTAGATCTCAATATAGACTTGCATGATGTTTTAAAGTGCATCGATAAGATATTAAACAACTCGAAACAGACTTGGTCTCTGACATAAAGAATGCATCTTGCTTTGGAAATATAACTTTCCGCCCAATTTCATATCTCATAAACTTATAAATATATCAAAGATACAGATTTAGATAAAGAAATAAGGCAGGGATAAAATGAAAATATACAGTAAGTCGCAACTTCGTAGAAACTAAAATAAGACCGTCTCGTTTATTTTGCGATTTTTTTTTATCATTTAGATAATCATTTATCTCAAAATCACATTACGTTCTATATCCAGATATTTTCAGATAACCAGATTGAAATTGCATTTCCTATATTAGACAATTTTCTATATCAGAAATTTTGGAAGAGGATCATTTCGATATTGCCTCAACACGTGTTCCACGGAGATTCGGATCGGCGAGAAAATGACGCCCTGCACAGCTGTATCCGCATGCTGGCGTCGGCGGGCATATATGAATTCTCGCGTCGACGAAAATCCGACGGTGGGCGTCGGCGTCGCGCCATCGGTGCGTCTAAATTAGGGCAGAGTAACGCAACACCGATTTGCCTCTCGAGTCGCGAGAACGCGGAGCGGCGGGAACGTCTTAATAATCGTCAGGGACGATAATCTGGAAGGCGTCCTACGCTTTATTTCTTCGACGCAATTCTTCGCAGCTGAATAATATCTAATTTCGCAGTTTTGATATCGGGAAAATTTCGAATGTCAAATTCGATGTAGAATTTTTTTTAATACTTTTGAGACTTTCATAGAAATATTTTCTTGAAGAAGTTACGCGATTTGCGGATTATCTTGCGGATGTCTTGATACATCTTTAAATGCCGATGTTTTGTAAACATTGTGGTTCACTTCATCAGGAGACATATAATATTACTACAAGGACACAATGAAAGGAAAACGAATAAGGAATAGAAAATAACAGACTTCAACAAGAAACCAAATATTGACATTAGAATACATGGAGTGTGATCAGTTAACGCTGCTTCGTTGATTAATCAGAAAAAAAGAATTTTACGAATTGGCCAATTAAAGAAAGCATTTGAAGTGGCTCGCATCCATAATTTTTGATAGGTTGAAATCTGTTATTCGTAATTTCTTTCATTGTATCCTAAAGTCTAAGATACATTGAAGCGATAAGAGCAAGGAATAATAAAAATCCTCAGGGTTTTGATATATTCTAATATACACGGATTATGATAGGTTGAAATTTATTATTCCCTACAGATTCTCAAGTAAGAAATTGGATACCGTTTAGACAACTTCTAATTGGTCATATTTTTCTCTCTCAAGATTCTCAAGATAGAATAGATACATATAAGATAGAACGAAATAGATATAACAAATTTCAACCTGTCAGAAACAATATATTTCGGTATGCACGGTTTCTGACAGGTTGAAATCTATTATTCCCTGTTCATATTGCCTGTGCTTTTCAATTGCGCATTACAGTTCACGTTGACATTTAACAATGTATATCAAGATACGAAGATAATTACAAACTATATAGTTTCTTTGCCGAATTTTTATTTGCGTTATCGTCACAATCGTAATCATAATACTGCCATAGTTATACAATTATTGTGTTACGAACGCAGTTATAAGTATATAATTGTACATAATTATACCATAATTGTGATTTAAAATAATTACAACGTTATTGCAATTGCAGTGTTATTGCTGTAATCTACTTTCCAAACCAGGAAACCGGAAAATTAGTACTACATCGTTCAGCGAGATATAAAATTATTGTGCGAATTACTCTATTAATCTAAAATGCCATGACATTCATTGGGATGTTCGAATTCAGACAAATGTTCGATATTATGACGTCCCTTTAATTTCGGCCCAGCATTGCGGACGATGACGCTAAAACGTTCATCCATTCTGCGAAGCGCGGTTGATTTTAACCTTTATAAATAGACACGTATTAAGCACGAGCGACTCGTGCCAGTATTAAACACTGTATAGTGTTTCGAACTTTCAGAACGCGCGATCTAAACGAGAAAAGCTGAAGATTTTTGCGCGTTGAAGATACGCGACCCGAGCAAAAAGCGCAGGATAAAACCGTCAGGAGATGTCTAACATCAGAAAATCCAAAATCATTATAAATAGAGCTGCCGGAGGGCAGGGAATTACAAAACGGAAGCTATTCATAGCATTGCAGCCATTTTCCGGGACTTCGTCGTGTTAAACTTAGACGGCCGCGCGACCCAGCGAATCTCAGATTCACGTTGACAGAAAAATGTATTTGGCCGACGAAATCGAGCCCTGAGCAGGACTCGGCCGAATGCTCAGAGATTTTACATTGGAGAATGATCTCCAAGAAAGAGTTTACAGTGCGCAGTTCGAAAATATATATATATATGCAGCAAGTTTATTTTTAATTCAGTCTAAATATTTGTGACATCACGGTATCGAAGGAGCAGATTTGCATTTTTCGAATCGCGAGACTTATTTTCCTTATTATTTTTTGACGGACGAAATATATGGAATAAAATTGTACAGTTAAAAGATAATTAAGGCAAATTAATTGTTACGAATATTAATAGAAAATCTCGTTTTTAATTGATAGCCATTTAATCGCGAATTGAAAAACTCTCTGCTTTTAAAGTCATCAATTTTTATAATGAAATTTGTTTCTGCGCGAGTTTTTAAATAACATTTCCACGAAAACATTTTATGATTTTTTTAAACGTTTATTAATCTTTTTAAATAAACTATTAACAGTGACTGCCGTTTTAGAATTATTAACGATAATTCAGAACAAAAAATTTAGCTGTAATTCGAATTTTTCGGATGAATGATTTTCTTTATAAGAACAATTTCCTATCGACATTGCACTATTTATCTTATTACCTTCCTTACTTTTTATCGTCGGATTGATGATCAATGGCAATCCCTAAAGCTAACCCAGATTCCCGATCCCTCGACGATTCTAACTATGTCTAGACAAAATCTCTTGCCAAATAGCAACGGAGACGAACTTCTATCGAGTAAAATTAATAATACAATGAAAGAAAAAGATATTTTCATATATTTGCAAAAAATATTTTTACGTATTTAATAATAATAATTTTCAAAAATACTATATTTTTTAATATTAATAATAATAACTAATAAAAACTAATAATTTCGAAACAATTTAAAATCTATCACAAATTAACAAGATCAATTTAAAAAAATATATGTTGTTGCAGTACCTTCTCTCTGCTTTCGTCGTACTTCATAATTCGCATTATTGAATTTAATTCATTCATATGATAATAATCGAAGTATCGTTTATTAACATCATTTGATCAACATCAAATATCTACCAATGGTTAGAAATACGTGTTGGACAATGAATCTCTCACAATGGCTCGAGTTGCGATTAGCACAAACGATATGCGGCGAGTCCTGTCGCACATACACAATAACTCCCCGATTACGGAGTCGTGGACATAGACAACGTGGAACAAAAACTAATGCTATCCCTTGAACTCGTCAAGAGTAGCTGTACTAAACACGAACAAAAAAAAAGACACAAAAGTATTGCATATCACAAATATTGGAAGGGCCCTTGTATGAATCCATTTAACTATGGATTTGGGTTCACGCTTATTATTTACAATCCTATTGGGTTGCCTTCCAAAACTCGACTCCGTCAACGATTATCATTTTATTCCCGTTGTTCACTTAATGTTGCACAAGGATAAAAGATATTCGAAGTTGACAGAGTCAAGTTTTGGAACGCATTACAGGTATTTTTGACAGAACAGTGAAAATAAAAAAAAAGAACCGCTGTGACCGATTGTCGCGGAATTGATTGATTTCCGAATCTCATGAAGCTGTGTACACACGCGGATCCAATTAACACTAGAACCGTCGCCATTTTGGTTCCGTTAATCATTTCAATTTTTTTCTTGTTTGTATTAGACTAATCAGAATACAGAATATTGAAAATATAATACAAATAATTTAACGATACAAATATCAAAATATTTTTCACTAATTACCAAATTGACACCTTTGGCAGTTCTTCTTGGATTCTATCGGCGGTTTTAGTGTTAAAATGCTACATAAACCCAATTTTTCATTTTCTGATTAACTTGTGGTTAAGCTTAACCTGATGTTTTAGCCAATGGGCTCTTGATGATGTCATAGAGAAATGACATCCCATCAGGTGAAACATTAGATCAAACTTAATCATAAGTTAACCAGATAATGATAAATTGAGCCATGGTTTTGTAAGAATCTGTGCCCTCTGGAATTTCCGAAAGCTTTTATCGTACTACCCTTCCCGACTGAAGAGTTCATCGTTTTCCGGGACACCGAGTGCACGTTCTCGAGCATAGGAGCGATAGTATAGTAGTAGTGGTAATTAAGTAGTAACAGTAGTAGTAAATTTGGTAGTACAGTGCTAGTATAGTAGTGAACACAGTGGTCGGAGTGAAGTGTGGAAGTCGAGATCTGTCTCGGCGGTGATTTCTCGGTGAGTCGCGGCGTCGAGCTCGACGACGAACAGCAGCGACGAGGACGTGAGGCCCTCGAGGAGGACGGAGAACAAAGTCAGAGAACAAGCAATGTCGAGGTGTTTCCGGTCGCGCCGCTCGCTCTCTGTCGTCGATCGACCTCGTCGACGAACCGGAGGGGGTGGATAAGGGAGAATCAAATGCCAAGTTCTCACTCATCGCTTTGCACCTTCGACGTCTCACGGGATGTCGGTTGCGGCCGACGACAATGAAATCGCGAACGGCCGAATGCGGGTCAGCGTTGCTCTTTTTTACCGTGTTGCTGATCTATCTCCTCGAATATTCTACTTTGTGAACTTCAAATCAACCCTTAAGAGAATCCTAAAGTCGTCTGTGTTTTATCGGTTATTTTTCAAATACGTATTTTTCTAACTGCTTTTACACGCCTAGATTAAAAAATATTTTCCACAGTTAAAATATAAACGATAATGTAGTTCAAATCGGTCGACTTTATGTCAAAAACAAACAAAATTGAAAAATTACAGTTTTTTTTATCGGCTTTTAATGCCGACATATAACAATATTTACTTTATAAAAGTTTTTGTACTTTATAAATTTATACAGATAAAACAATGTTGGTTGGATTAGGAATTACATAAACAAACAATGTCGAATTCTTGGAAATAGATACCTAATATGAAATAATACTTAGTTAAAAAATTCATACATATATATGCATGCGAAACTGTATGTGTATAAGTCTCATTGAGTTGATAAAACAGACGGTTTTAGGATCCTTAATTCTTATCTTCTTTTCTGGTACGTTGATTTTTTTGCACACCCTCTTCAAACAAGGAACGTTATTAACTGTTTTCTATTATTTTTAAGAAGATCTCAAATGGAATTAAATCTCAAGATTGAAGATCTTAAAAAGATTAAATTTTTAATAGATTACATCTTAAAAATAGTTTTAAAACGTAATTTGAAACTAAATGAATATAAAATATAATATTGATAAATGATATAATGTAAAAATAGAAAATAAAAATCTTATTAACATCGCAAATTAAGGGTTAACAAGCTTTAAAGTGAATGTTCTTTAAGAAAATACTGACTGTTGTTTATATAAATTCTGTTACTATCAATTACTTTGAAATATTAAAAATATTAAAAAATCAGGCATTTTATGGTATTTAATTTTCGACCGAGTTGCTATTTTTATTAGATATATCAACAAAATTTATTGATATAATAAAATTGTACAAATAAAAAATATATATATTAGTGAGAAATATATAAAAAGACGTTACTAAAATATATATTTTTTACTAAGATTTTTAATAATTGTTCTAAAAGTATAAAAAATTCTTCTTTAATTTGCAATCTCTTCGAAAAAAACCTATGTGTGACCCGATAAATTACTCAACTATTTAATTTACGACGAATCGTCGTCATATTGCGTGTCACATAAATAAAACGCCGACCCCATCCAGCGATCGCGCGAATAATTATCCCGTCAATCATTGATTAATTATTTAATCCGTTTTGTCCTGAATCGATTACTTCTCTTTGGTCCGATTTTTCTCATAATGTGCTCAAAACAACAGCATATTCAAACATGATCTTCGCTTCATCACTGAAAATCACGTGTGACATATTCATAAATCTACGTTTTAAATCAACAAAACATTTCGAATATTAAATACCAGGACAAAAAGGAATTAATCCTCAATGCACATGAGAGGAAATGCGCCGATAATGCGCTGAAGAGTGCCGGTGAGACGTCGGGGTGGTTTAGCGAAATCATACGGGATGCTGAATCTGGCGGTTACAGGGGATGGTACACTTCCTGTTACAAACGGGGCTCTCTCTCTTTCTCGACGTTAGTTTGCCACGTGTAGCAAAAAAAAAACATTATTAAAACATACTTCCAGCCCGCTCTTTTTTTATGCAAAAAAAAAAGAAACAACTCCAGATTCTTAGAATACTGACCGAGACAGTGTAGGAAGAGACGAGCGGTCGCGTGTAGGGTCGCCGGGTCGTGTAGAAGTCGCTCTCGTAAACCATGGTCGCTGCAAGCTGCTGGCCTTTCCGGTTTGCTCTTCAAGTACCGCTAATTCGAGTCGGTCGAAAAATCTCGCGAAATCGAATGCGCTAACAGGGTTCGTTTTCTTCTGTTTTTTTCTTCGTGCGCGCGTGCGAAAGGGAAGGATACGCGACGATGCGGTCGCGATGGAGGTTCGTACGATTCTGCTTGCCCCAGCGTCGGTACCACTTCTTCTTCGTCCGAATCAGACTCTCCTCTCTTCGGCGTGTGTCCCTCTTCGCCGCGACCGCGTCCACCTCGACTACGCACGTATGACTCGCGGGTACGAAACGAGAATTGCGTCACTCCGAAGTCCCCGTGCCGCTTATTAAGCCGATGCATCCATGAAAAAAATAGAATCGTATTAAGGACTGCGTAACTATCCTCGTCAACATGTCTCTCACGGCGACGTCTGAACTTTAAGAGACGACATCACGTTGAACAATTCTTAAAAAGTAGATTTTTTACCGAGAGAAAAGCAGTAAAATACATCGAAGATAAAAATAGAAAAATAAGGCAATAAAAGAAAGAAACCGGAGGGTCATCATAATGTAGAGTCAAATTATTAAAAATTAAATCTATAAGAATAGAAAATTCTGGGCTAAAATAAAAATACACTTTTGATAATTGGAAATATAAACTTTAGTATAAAAGCGAAAAATAAAAGAACAATAAAAATTAAGCCGCAGGATTATCATAATATATTAGGTGTTGGAATTAATTCGTAGCGTTTTACAAGTGATGGGAAGTACTTTCATTAATGTATTTTTTAATGCTCATGTGAAATAAATAACATTCTTTCATTAAAAACGCTACGAATTAATTCCAACACCTAATAATTGAAAAAAATCTATGAAGTCAAGAAGGATAAAAAACTTGCCAAAGTTAAGATAAAGATACACTTTTTTAATAATTCGAAATCTAGCAACAGCGAAAAATAAAAGAACAAGATGAAAACTTCTAACGAAATCAGAAGACTTAGATAGTCAAACTAAAAACAAGATTTATAGTCATAAAAGATAGTTTTGAAAGCTAAAATAAAGATACAATTTTGCTGATTGGAAATTTAGTATTTGAAGTTATTTCTTTCTCTCGCATCAGGCCTTCAATTTTCTTCTTTGATCGATGCTCAATTTACATATGTTCTGTTTACAAACTGAAACTCTACTTTTTGAGGCTTGATTCACGGCCAAAAAAATGTATATTTTTAAGAACGGTATTCTTAGAATGAAATACAGCATGTATATTCTGGAACTGGACAATCGTGTCAAGGAAATCACCGAATATCCAGAATTCAAATACAGATCGCTACTTATTCCTACCTGTCCTCACGTCAATTACTTGCACTCCATTATTCATGTATAATATTTTATATACAATTTCGCTGACGCAAATAGCAAGTGCAAAAGATCTAAAATATCCATCAAAAATTGCAACAGTTCAAAAAATATACATATATTCAATCTTTCAATCTTTCACTCACTACATTATAAATATAACATATACTTTTATTTCTCAGATCCTAACAAAACGTGTTATTGGAGCAATTAAAAAAATAAGTTAGAAATTGTGGGAAATGAGAGTGAAAGATAAACGTGACAGACCGAGAATATTGTAATAACATTTCACAGAACAAAAGTGCGCAAAAGAGTATGTTTTATGAAGGAGTAAAAATATATAATGTTTTACCGTATGAATTAAAGTAGTGTGAGAAACTTGAATCATTTAAGAGAATATATAGTATTTAATGTTACTTAGATTTAGGATTATTTGTAAAAGATGTATTTTTGAAATAGTTGAGAAAGCTAATAAAGCATCATTCATTCTCCAAATACGTCGAGAAGATAACATTTCTTTCTTAGGATCAATTTTCTGTCTCATTCACGTCATTCTTTAACGACGAAACGAAAACTCGCGAGGAGTGACGATTCTCCCTTGTTTAATCGTGATCGTAACGTAGGTATAAAACAATAAATTCACGTTACAAGTATTACATTGGCAATTCTCCAGGATTTCGTACAATGGTCCACATTTAGATTCAGTGCCAAAGAATGCTCGCACTATATATGCGGATCGTCAAATTACCTCAAGGTGAAGAAAGCGCGATTTGCAAAAATAAAACCGAATCGCTAAATATACTGGAACATCTGAATACTGAAATATATTAGTTCACAGAATCGCATCGATCCTGTGAATCTTTCCATTATTCTCATTCATTGTCAAACGGTAAAATAACATGTCGAATTTTATCGGTGTTATCCCCGTATAATCTTGAAGGTACACACAGGATTGCAGAATGCAATCCGCGATGAAACATTTGGGCCGAGAATAACGCAAGCCAAATTCCGAGACGCAATAAACGTGAGATATGAGCGCGAACGACTGCAATTGTAACAAATTCACAAAGTATAATTCATAGCGTTAAAATAAATCGCTCGTACATACGCAGCTATTAAATAATATAACAATGTTTGTCACTCGAAAAAGATTTATTCGTCCGATCGGTAGACGAGCGATAAATCGATCAGATATTTTTTTGCGACATTCCGACAGTCCAGTATCATAAATCTTGCGAAACGGGGACAAAAACTTCACGTTATCCGAGACAACAAACATTTCCGCAACGAATGATTAAAGAAATGATATATTTCTTCATGTTACTATGATTCTATTGTTTGTAGAAAGGGAGATGACATTGGAATTTAAAAATATTTTCGAAATTTCTCAAGAGATTTTAAATATCTTACATCTGAAATTTAAGTTTTGCAAAATGATTATCTTATCATACCCAACTGACATAATTAAAAACAAGAAAAAATATTATATACATAATAATGAATTGTAAAAAATATTATATTGAATTTACTTATTTAACAAAATAATACAACTAAAATCAATATAAATTTCATTTAAATTTTATCCTATTGATCGTTAAACAATTTATCCAAATTATTCTGCCTTGGACTCTCTTAATAGTCTTAATAATTATTTCTTATTACCTTATTACATAAATTTACGAAAGTGCGCACAATTATATAGGGCGTCCACTTGACGCTCGCAATGCTCTAAGAATCACTTCATTTTTTTTGTTCTTAAAGTGTTAAATAAAAACAAATAATGCTCACGAGCGTTGCGGGCTTTAAATGGAATGTAGCCATATTAGCGTGTCATATATCGGCCGCATATGTGTATACTTTCATAACAGTATTATTAATCTTTTGTACATCAGTCTATACAAAATGCTGCATAAAACGCTTCTTTCTCGTCGGCTTACACAATAGACAGGTATCGATAAATATGTGGTAAACAGAATATGAAAATTTTAATAACAAAAAAATAAACTACTGTCATGCAGTTAATCCTCGTTGGGTCAGTGAACCTTCGGTTTTGCCGATTTCGCTTTCTTCAGTTTCTTCAGCCCGCTTATATTCGTCTTCAAGAGATTCCAATACGCCTGTTGGAATTTGTTCACATCCTTGGAATGAATCTGAAAGATGAAAAACATATCTCAGAGAGATGCAAGTAGCATTGCCATCCGTAGCTGAAAGATATATACAATAGTGGTGATTTTTTTATTACGAAGCGATGCTCGAACTAAGCAAAGATACTCTGTAGGAGTCGGTAAAGGAGGTCTGCCTTTCCTAGGCACCGGTTTATTGTGTCCATTAACTGAAACAAAAAGCTCTTTAATAAAAATACAAAAAAAAAAGAAAAAGAAATGAATTACAAAAGTTTATATCATGAGTATACAAGTTTATATTTTTAAATTCTATTTTTCTTATATAATTCATAAAGCCTGCTAGTGGAAGTTTACAAGTAGTTTAATTAACCTTCTGTCTGCAATCGTATTTTTAATCTCTCTGGGTATAATTAAAGACTATGCTCCATAAAATATATGATGCTTCTGATATATCATTTTATCCTTGTTATTTAAATATTAAACAAGAATAAAACAATACATTATATCATATGTTTTACAGAACCAGGAAAATATCTCACTGCAAATGTTTTTGATTGATCAGAAGAAGGAATTGATCAATCAAAGGATGGTCATGTCCAGCAGAATGTTTACTTTTATAACTGTTAACAGTTTTTTTCACTGAGACAAGACTTCTTAGATTTTAAAAATAAAATCAATTCAGTGCAAAAAACTTACAATAGTTGCAAAATAAACATTCTGCTGAACATGGTTAATGCTTATATATCCAGCAAATTTTTTTATTGGATCTTAAAAAAATATAGAAAAATTAAGGACTACTTTTCAACATCTCTACTATATTATCAAATAGATTTTTAATTCAAATGTTAAACCTTCAAATTGAATTTTGAGCAAAAATGAGAAAGAAATTTGAGAGTAAAATTTCGTTTGTGTTAAAAAAAACCCAGATTGCAAATGGAAGATTAATAATCTTCGGAGAATTGTCATTTTTACTTTCGGTCTTTAGCAACGTGTATTTTGAATGAAAAAAACAACGAAGGATACTCACATCTTTTAATAGTGAGCGATACCGCGCCCGAAAGCCGCGACTTGTCAAAGAGTTTGGTTAACTCCGCTAAGAACTGCAATGAAAATTCGTCTGTTAGTCGTTTATACGTGAGAGAACAATTTCGATGTTGAGTTACCGCGTCATTCTCCAACAGGACCATTCTGATGATAGTAGCATATGTCAAACGCCAGAGCACGTCGAATGTAATCGCCTGCTGAAACTGTTGAAAGGTTAGACGAGGTAAGAGGTTAGTAAATGCAGCCGTAAATTCTTGCTTGTGACAGAATCATAGACTATGCGAAACATTTAGAAGGTCAATCACATATCTAATATTTATAATCAATTTTTTACAATTACAAATTAATTATATTAAAGAAATTATTTATATTAAATTAATTATTTTAAAGAAATCGAAAAATTGCTAAACTTTCAGAAATTTTTAAAAGTCACCGAATTTTTTAAATCCAGTTTATTAATGTAAGATTAACTTTAATATTGATTTAACATATTATTTATTTTATTTCTTGGAATACCGTTAATTTTTTTTTAGAATTAGACAAAAAAGTAAATGAAACCGAGATTAAAGAAAAAAGAATTTTTATAATTTTTTAAAAGTTAACAGATGATTTTGGAAATTATGTACAAAATTTGAAAACTGAAAAAAATCATTAAATTTTGGAGATCGAATTATTTAAAAATTATTAAGCTCCAAACATAAGATTTTGAAAATTATCAAACTTTAAAATCCTATTAGATCTCATTTAATTTAAAAAAATTAATAAATTCTATTTATAGAATAATTTGAAGGTTGCTTAAATTCTAAACTCCTAAGTTGCGTTCAGCAGAACATTTATTTTGCAATTGGAAGTTGGAAGTTCTTTCGCGCTGATTGGATTATACTTTTGGATCTAGAAGAATGGTCCTATCTCAACAAGCAATTATAAAACAGCAAAGTTGCAAAATTGTTGTGTTCTGCTGAACGCAGCCTACCTTTCTAATCGGATCGCGTTTATAATTTTTCATTTTAATTTCGTCGATTTATAAGCTTAAATCTCCTCGGCAAAGTCATCTTCCTTTCTGACTTATACTTATTTAATGGCCAATGTGGCTGCCACCTCATCGTGAATGTCGTGATGCTGTGGATGTTATGTGAGCGTGGTTTTTTGGTGACACGAAACAACATCTCTTTTCAGAGTGATTGTTGAGCCAAATGAGTAAAATGATTCAGGCTCACGTGAAGGCCTTCCTGGCGATTCTCCTAATCGCTCAGGTTCATGGCATCATGTTCTTCCTGGAACCCAATAGTCACAAGTGTCTAAAGGAGGAGGTCCATGCAAATGTACTCGTCACAGGCGAGTATGAGGTATCCGAGGCGATGGGTCAGAAGGCGAATTATGTGGTAAGTAGTTTAACAATTTTTTATTCATCCTTTGCCGAAATATTTCTGCAAGAGTGTGAAACTTAACGTTACTTAATGTTTTGCGGTTTGGAAACAGCTGTGCAATTTGATAACAGCTATGATAACAGAATTCATTGTTTGCAATGATTTTTTCTGCTTACAGATTCAGGACTCCAAAGGACATATATTGTCTCAAAAGGAGGACATTCCCCATGGGAAGTTGTTGAAATTTTCTTTTGTAACAGAAACTTATGACACTTTTGAGATATGCTTCATTTCACGCGTTCCAAATCGTATGTATACTCCATTTTTAACTTTATAATTTGTTTTCATATATAATTTAATTGAATTGTTACAAGAAAGACATATATTTAAAGAATTATCTAAAGGAAGAATTATTATATAAAATGTAAGAAATTGTTTTAGCTACATTTGATACGAAAATTATTTCAGATCAGCGTGGTATCAGGCAAGAAGTTACGCTGATTACAAAACGCGGCATTGAAGCAAAGAGTTACGAAGGCGTAAGTTCGCATCGTTACAAATATCTATTCCTTTACAAAAAAAAAGAATTATTTAATGTATAATGCGGAGATCGAGAGAAACCATCTGACATTACTTTGTTTACTTTCTTTTTATATGTGGCTTGTTTCCGCGGCGCAGTTGGTAAAGTAGAGTTTTTTCGATATTGTGTTCTCGTTGGCATGTGTTTTATCACAAATCACATACTTGTGCATTGGCAGCCTTAGAACTGAGTTATTAGAGCGCAACGCAGTTATATTAATTTGTGCATGCTTTTATTCGCGGATGTTCCGTTAACGGGGAAGAATTTTTGAAATTTATTTCATTCACGCGAACGCATTAATTATATTTGGTTGTAAAATTGACTATATATTTTTTTTACTTGAATTTATATTACGATAAAAATTATTTATTTGGACATTTTTTCAATATAAAGCATTTTGTATTGTTAAATTTCTTAAAAATATGTTAATGGTACATCCACATAATAGCAGCATAATAATTGACACATTTTAATACCTATAAACTATATAGAATGTTTCAATTCTATATAGTTTCAGTTCTTCTTCAATAATAAATACTCAATAAAACATGAAATATTAATTAAGTCATATAACATTAAATGCTTTTTCCTGCTATAGCTGAGATCTCTTTATTTATCTCTTTATTTTTCTAAAAGGTTTTGAGAAAATGTGAGTCGAAATATTCGGTATTATTACTTAAATATTTTTGAGCGAAAATTGTGATTTTTTTAAGACAAGTGTTTAAGACAAGATTTTTAAAAATAAAGGAGTTTATGGTAAAAAGTATTTAATGTGATTAGTTAATTTCATCACTTAAAAATTAAAACTACTGCAATCAGATATTATATATCACATTATCTAATATCTTTTTTTGCTCTGTGTAAAATACGTACATGCAAAGAAATTATCCGTTATTTGGCTTTTATTTTAGTAGTTGCGTTTTTTGTAATTCATTTGTATCAATTGTAATACGCAATACTAACGAATCGCTGAGGTTTCCGTCGAGGATGTCGTCGCTTTCCGGTAAAAATTATCTTCTTCGACAGATCGGTGAAGCAGCCAAGTTGAAACCAGTAGAAGTGGAATTGAAACGGTTGGAAGACTTATCCGAGGCGATAGTGCAAGACTTCGCCAGAATGCGCAAGAACGAAGAAGAAATGAGAGACACAAATGGTAAAAAAAAATTTTTTTTGTAAATAATGAAAGAAAATAACTTTATATAGAAAATGATAATTTTGAATATTATATGATCAAATTACAAATTATAAATAATAATCTAAATTATAGATCAGATTAGATAATCTAAATTAATATATATAAATAAATCTAAATTATCAATTAATAATGAAATGTCATAATTAAATTGATAATTAACTTGTAAACAGTTTAATCTCAAATGATCCTTTTTTTTGTTTCAGAAGCCACAAACACTCGAGTATTATACTTTAGTTTATTCTCGATATGTATTCTCTTCGGTTTGTCCACCTGGCAACTTTTTTACTTCCGGCGCTTCTTTAGGATGAAGAAACTCATTGAATAAATATTAAATACGTTTGTAACAAATAATACAAATGTAAAAAATATACTTATTTTTGTTTGGATTTTTTATCTTTGTTATTCGTAATTTCGTACTTTTGAGTGGAACACTTTTTACATTCGTCACGTTTGAAAAGTACTATTTAAATAAATATGCAAACACGCGTTCAATCATATTACCTCATTCAAATCAATGTAATATATGATAAGACTTCATCTTGTACACATCGCGCATACATTATGTTACGGAGAACACAATATTTAAACAATTGTAAGAGATAGAAACTTTCTTAAATAAAAGTATACCTCAATGGTGACATAATAAGTCTTCAACATCTCATTACCTGAAAATGATATAAAAAAATTATAAGAAATCATTCGTCTTAAGATTAAGATATCTAATATATATATTTTATATATGTATTTATAAAGGTTGATATTTCATATCTTGCGATACAGTTTAATGATTATATGGTATAATGCGTTATATTGTTGTTTTAACATTTTATTTATAAAATAGAACAACTTTGTGGGAACACACAATAAATGGTCTAAGAAAATATAATGAAGAAACATCACATTGGAAGACGATTTATTTGTCTGATTCGAAAGCGGCAGCCTTCAGGATTGTGTCTTCGTGGTTTAAATAGTTATTTGCTCATAGCTATACGGTCTTAAAAAGCATATTTAACATTGCATAATGTAAATACTTTTACGCTTTCACTTTTAAAATTTGATCAAATTAATAATATACGCGAGATGAACACAGAAATTTTAGAGCGTGATTTTACGTTTTCTTAATGCTACGGTAACTTCATTTTTAAAATCTAATATTTATATATGAATATCTACATAAATGAACGCTATGGCTAACTGAGGTTTTTATAAATAGCTGTACACATCCTAATAAAATGTTCATCTTTTGAAAAAAATATACATTATTATATGTATTATTCGAAACAGGAAAATAATATAAATATGATATATATATATTAAATAATTTTTTATCACAAGGTGAACAATCAAGCATTTAAAAATAAAGTTTCACGTGAATGACAATGGTTCAAACACATAGGCACATTGTAGATATAGTATACAAGGAACGATAAATTTGCGGTAATAAAATCACATGTCGCAATATTACGATTGCCTTCTAAAAATTATTAATATCGTGATAATAGAGATGGAATTATTAGTTCATCATTGAAACAGTTGTTTCTATTTATTACGTATTAATATAACATTCATTTATTACCGCAATATAAAGCTATAACTTGAACAATCACTGTCATTACACTTATCACTTTTAATTACTACATCTCTTGTCTATCACGGTAGTATCTACCCGATAACATTTTGTATGGATTCATGAGTACGTATATTAAATAGCTATTATTCAACAATGAATTTGCTTCAATATATTTTAATATATTCAGGACTAAGAAATTTATGTACATATATTTCTTAATTATGATTCGTTGAAGGCATATTACAAAATATAGGAATTTAACCTTTTGGTGCCACACCTAGTGCATATGCTTTTTTTTTTATTTTGCTTCGCTATAGCTTTGTTATTAATAAAGATACAATGTATAGTAAATGCGTAACAAAACGATATAGAGTGGTACTGAAGGTTTAAGAAAATGGAAAATGATAAAAGTTCGTAGTTATTGTCAATAGTTCGCACAGACGACGAAATTAATTTCATAATATTTTTATAATTACACTGTTCAACAAAAAATTATTTTTTTCTCTCCGAAGTGCACATTTCTCCATCATCGTGTTCAGTGCAAAAAATCTTTGGAAAATATATTATCGGAGAGAATTTAGCTGTTGAACAGTGTTATTATTTAGTGATAATTTATCCTCAATTCGCTGGTTTTCAGAGTTAATTCATTGCTATATAATACCGTTTAAATACTACCGCTTACCTGAGATTAAATTCAACTAACAGGAGAATTTTCCGACGATTTTTACTTTTCTTCGTCGTTTGTACATATATTTGTTAGACCACTTTATTTCTAAATCTAATAACAATGACGACAAAAAATATAGTATATCTCTACACATGTATATTGTATATATATATATATATATATAGCTTTCTTGTCATCTCTTAAAGCAAATTGTACCATCTTTTTACTATGATTTTTTTCTAAAAATTCAGTTATTAATTTTTCCATAAAAATATTGGTCTATTTCTTTACATCTTTCTACAAACTCTCAACATTAGGCATTTTGGCATTTAGGCGCACTAAATATTAAATCTCTCTCTATTACAATAAAAATTTAGAAGTCCTACGAGGTAAACGCCTATTATACTATGTGATTATTCTTTCAGGACCTCTATTAATTCATTTAATTTCGAAAAAGGTATATCTTTTTCGGATGAATACATATGTGGCTCAGAGAAACAGGAATTCTGGCGCACAGTATATATTCGGGAATAAGTTAAGACCCAATTGAATTAGAATAATAGGTTTATGGAAAGTATTGTCGAGACAAAAACTACTCCTTCGAACTACAGAAACTTTTCGAAGACTGTAGCTCATTACTGATTAGGTGACTGTTCAAACTGTCAAGCTTTCGCTTTTTGACGTCTCAGATCGTTCGGTATCAAAGTTGTAAGCAAAACGCCAACTGCAAGAATGCAGCACAGCGCGACATTTGCCCAAAAATCTTCCCAAATGTTAAGCAGGTAGCGATAGAGCGGAGTGAAGGCAATACCGAACAGTTGAACGACTGCGTTCAATAGACCTGTGGATGTTCCTTCGGGCTCCGGGAACGTAAGTTCTGCAGCGAGTTCGAAGCCGACCGGCAGATATCCGGTCATAAAAAAGCTATAAAAATATTTATATGATATAATATAAATAATATAACGCATAAATAATATAAAATTTCGAACAGTCTGAAGTCAAAACCGCTCAATTATTCGACATGCTTTCAGAAATTTTGTGAATTTTTAAAAAAGAGAAATGAAACAATTTTAACAAGATTTTCAACGAAATTCAGTCAAAGAGCAAAGCGTTTAATAACAAATCAAATTAGACATTTAATGGCATAACACGCGAGTCAATAAATTAAAATATTCTTAAATTATAAATAATCATATGATGAAAATAATTGCTGGACTTTACCCTAGAATGCCAGCTGTGATGTAGACAACATATATCTTCACGTCCAATGTGAAAGTAAAGATTATCATACCCACCAAAGAACAAACATACACTCCTACCGTGGTCAACCTGTAAATTAGTATTGTCTTTCACATTTTTTCGATTGTACATATTTGCTCTATCATCAAATAAATCGAGATAAGTTTGCTCTGATCTAATATAATTTGATAAGACATCAAGTAAATGAAATATTTTTCTCTTAGCTTTACGTAATGTTTATAATAATTATTATAAATCAGTTCGATTTGCTGATAGAAAAAGTTGAATTACTTCTGCCAATATTGGAGTGAAATTCCACGATTCTGTAAAATAATGTCTGATTGCTCACCAGAATTTATGTGTTTTGTCTAATAGAATACCGCAGACAATAGAGCCAACCATTCCGGCACAAACTATTGTTAAGCCGATTCGACCAGCATCCTCTTCACTGTCCTAAACAAGAGATAACCACTACCTGTTAGTATTTCTCATTAAACAGAGATATAATCAAGAAACTTATTTGAAAATAGCATTTCATAATCTTGTTCAGAGCCTGTAATCTCCACAGAAAAAAATACAAACTTTTGTAAGAAGACATATATGTACATTGATAATTACGATAATATAGAATTCATAATAGAATTCATATTGCAGAAAAATGCGAGATTTGAATAGAAAAAAGAGTAAAATACTTATAGTTATCGAATAAAATACTTACTGGATATTCTCTGGTGACAAGTCGATTTAGAAGAGTGCTTATAGCATAAAAGATACCGACGTTAATGCCGTAACTGATTAAAAGCAACAGATAACCACGATTCGAACACAATCTTGCGAGAGAATTAAAAAAATTCTTCACGTCCTTATTGCTTTCGGATTTTTCTCTTTGCACAACTTGAGCGGAGCTAGGTGGTAAAGGCGGTGCCGACTTGAAGACTATAAATTACCAATTTCTATTAAGAGTGAAAGAATGGAAGAATATACGCCGCTTGGCGATAAAATCGAAGGATTAAATAAATCTCGACTAGTAGAATCAATTCCTGTTTGTAAGAAAATATAATATAATGTATAAAATGTAATATAAATATATTTTCTTTGATACTAACAGTAATCAAACTATTATTATTATTATTACTAATAATAATGATACATAAAATAATAATAGTAAGCAAAATAATTATATAAAATACACGAAGTAATTTTTTAAAATAAAATTTTGCAAAAATTATTCCTATTCAATAATTTTTCTTTACTTTTAGTCTCCAATTTTACAATTTTTTAATGAAAAATATTTGGAATCAAATATCAATTATCTTGATTTATACGTCACATATTATGTTTTTTAAACTTCGGGATTTTATTGCCAAATTGCAAAACCGATGAATGAAAATTATATACACATACAAATTAATATGAGGATTAGTACGACCGACGTGATAGCCGCGACGATATAGAACATACGTTGAAGCCCCCTTTCGATTTCACAGGTATCCTTGTTCGGCACTAACATCGGTGGAAATAAGAAACCGATAGCTATACCCAGCTGCAACAGAAATTCGTGTGACGAACGTCCTAAGAAATTGTCATTGAGCCCTAGGAAAAGAACAAAAAGAAATGTTTGCCGTGTAAATTCGTAGATCTTATTCCAATAACGCATTTACTTATGGGCTTCTGGAGCGTCTAAGATATTGAATCGTCAGGGGCGTCACAGTTTTAAAAAAATGAATAAGTTATACTGTTACATTCAAATATCAATTATATCCAATTCGAATTTTTTTAAATTGTTTCTACAAATCACCATTGCTTCTATTTAATTTCGTTGATTTAAACAATATTACGCAACTAAAACAAAGGAGTTAAATAATTTAACTAAAAAAATAAAAATTTGACTCAAATTTAGTTCATTATTCATCATCGATGAAGTATTGTTAACAGTATTTCGATATTTGTAAAGTTAATAAATGTAAAAAAAAAGTTGTATTTATTGAGAGAAAATGGGAAGCTACATTGGAGTACTCGAAGATCACAAGTCCCTAAGCACAAATTTTATAAACGTGGCCCTATCTTATTTACGCAGTTACGATATACATGACAATATCTGCCTTGAAAATAGAACTTGTATGCTTACTGAAGAAGTTAAATAAATAACGTTCGTATGTATCTTTACAAATCGTTACCAAAGTGAAATATTTTCCTTGTCAGCTGTTGAAACATGCAATTTCCGTATATGAAGCAACGCACTTCAAAAGGCTAATATTATTTATTTATAAAAGAAAATAAATGCACGTTTGTTATATTCATCGTTCCAATAATTGCAAATAAACGCATCTTAGAAGTATATTAGAAGTTAACCCTCCGGAATTGACGGTGAATCTATTGCATTTTTAATTATATTCTTTATGTTCCATTCTGCAAATCTGAAAGTTATTAAAGTAAACTTAGGCTGCATTCAATTTACACGCTCATGCTGTAAGCTTTATTCCTTTTGTATGTATAAGCGATAACAACAGAATGAAACTTAAAGCACATGTGCTTTCAAACAGAACACAGCGTTAGTGTTTGTATACCTACAGAAAAGATTTCCGGATCCAATGCTATTATTCTTCGATCTATCATAAAACAAGATCAATGTAGAAACAATCATATTTGTTGTTAACAGAGGAATATTTTATTCCTCTGGAAATGGAAAATTTTTTAAATAAATAATCTTGAATATCTAATTTTATGTCAAATACTATACAGCGCTAATATTATAAATTATAGCATCGAATAAAGATTTATTCTAAACGTAAGAATATATAGACTTAAATTTATATGTGTTACTTTTGTCTCAAGATAAGGTTAATCTTATTTAATTCGAGGATGGGGAATAGGAATTGATCTCTAAATCTTAATATCGTTTTATTTTACTGTATAAAATTCTAATGAGATTAGTATATCAAGAATATTTTGTGTCTTAGAAGAGAGGATATATTCTTTTTTATATGACTCTATTTTGATTACTTGAACTTCATTTTGATTTCTTGAAATTAATTAGTGTCTTTTAGTTAACATAAATAAATCAAATAAGAGAAAACATCTTATTTTCGATCGAAGCAGCTTGATGATTAATAATATCCACACATACATAAATAAATTTGTAAATATATTTTTTAATACTATATATTGCGCGCTGATTCTGTTCATTGGACTTGAAACGTAATCATAACATGAAGCTGGAAATAACATCACAAATTACATTGATCGTCAATTGTAATAATTGTCATTTGCGATGTTATTTCCAGGTTCAATTTGTGATTACGTTTCAAGTTTAACAAACCGAATCGGCGCATAATTTGTAGAACTAAAATATATATTTGTCAATTTGCGTATAAATATTATTAAGCACCAAGATCCGTTTCGATCAAAAATAAGATTCTTTCTCTTATTGATTTATTCTTATCGATCTAATTTCCACTTATAATAAATTAAATAAGTTTCACAGATCCAGCGTAAGTAATTGTATTACAGACTTTGAAGTCTGTAGCTCCGGAAGATTAAAGGTAAAAGAGACAGAAGAAACGAGGTCAAGCCATCTTTTCTCTTGTCTGAATTCTAGAGTCAACTAAGATTTTTCTCAAACCTGCGATTATGACACGCAGTCGTGGTTGTAAAATGCATCAGATTGTCCTTCCGTTTCATCATATTACGAAATCAGTGCAATTAAAGCGCGATAGATTCTTCGATAAGTGCGACCGCGATGACTGATAAAATGATAGCGGCAGTCTACAGCACCTTGGAGTAATTGAATCCCTCGCGACGTAGAGTGGGCCCCTCCCCCCTGACACCCCTTCCTGCCATCAGCCGCTCCTCTCTATGCACGACATGGTCGTTCGTCTGTCGAGGTAGCGAAATTAAACGTGGGTGCCCACTTTGACTCGGTTTCCCACCTAATCACGTCGCAATTTAAATCTCTCGAGGCACCCTATTCATCTATCAGTGAGTACTCCAGACTGTCACTTCCGTTGTTCCGTATGCGAGATCTATTCTCATTGTCCGCACGCATATGACACGTATTGGCGATGACAATGTCAAGTGCTTCCTCTTATGTTTTTTAAATAACAAGTGCCATTACATATCGACATTTGATGTCATGAAAAATTGGGCCTTATATAATAATAGCGGATATTCAACTCAAGAGACTAGTTTGCATAAATCTTTCTGAGGATCAAAAAATTTCAAGACGTTGACATATTTCTATTGGAAGTATATAGAATTAGATTAAGGAGGAGTCACCTGTTTCACTTTGTTATGAGATATACTTTGTATTGATTTCAGAAATAAAATTCAGAATTAAAATTCCATTTCTTTGAAATGGAATTGACATGACCAGAACCAAATGGACATGCTGTACATTTGGTTCTGGTCTATTTTATGCGAAAACAGGAAAAATTAAAAAAGATTACAATTAAACGGCTTTAATGTAATATAATAGTGCCTAATAATTTTCAAATTTTTTATCAAATACATAATAATGATCTAGCTAGCTAAATTATCATGACTATGTACTTTACTGAATCTCGTGAATTCACTTTAAAAGTGAGATTATGAATCTGTATTGTCATGTAATAACCTTTTACCAAAGTAAGTCATGACGTCATTAATCTGAGTATGAAATACTCAGCTCACTTCGGTTTCATTCGTGTGTAAATGGAAAGCAACTATTGTTTGACTCTCTCGAGTCTCTCGTGACACATGATCGGATGACAAATGAATAGCTCAGCATTAGCGTAGTTATCCTAGAGATCTTAAGTTCGAGTCTCGTTGACATCCTGCTAGTATATGTGTTTTCAGGAAATTATATATATATATATATATATATATATATTATTATTATAATATCCAATGTATTATTGTAATTATAATAAGAAAGAATATATGTAAATAAGTTAATTGTATATATTATATTTTGAAAATAAAAAAAATTAAATAAAAATTATTTTTTGTTAAAGTATTCCCAGATTGACAAATATGCGTAAACTTTACAGCAACTTTATGTTTATTCAGTAATCATTCAATGTATAGATGAGCCGATTTGAAATATTGCAATCGTATTTATTAAAATTAAAAAACGAAATATCATGACGCAAATATGATATAAATATGAGAAACAAAGAATCAAATTTTTGTTTCTTTCTTATACTTACATCATATTTGCGTCATGGTATTTCGTTTTCTGATTTACTAAGTATCACTGTATTATTTGAATCATCATCGGCTCATCCATCTCACACATTTGACAATCCAATACTGAATACAACAACATTGCTGTTAAATTTATGTACATGTCACTGTATGTATATATATATATGCGTGTAATTGACGTAGTATGATATGTCGATGTCTCATAAATCATATGTTTGTATTATAAACGTAAATGTAAGTTGCATTTACTTAATCAGTAAAACAGAGATCTCATCGGAGTTTAGCTGCCACGCCAGCATTATAAGTTTAGTTATAATAACATCAATAAAAATTTAAATGGAAAAATAAGTTTTTTAATAAATTCTTAAACATTTACACTATGACCTTTTCATCAAAATTATATAAAATTAAATCATCAGATTGAATTATACATTCAATGGAAATGGAAATTGATGCACGCAGATATGTAATAAATTTGAATATTATAATAAGAGATAGGATTATTATATTATAATCTTATTTTATATAATAATGAATTATTAGTATTTCATATTCGCGCAATCGAGAAAAGAGATACAAAATAATTAATACCGTGGGTGTCAAATATTAAATTTGACTTGTTATCGAATTACGATATTACGTTATCTTGCGCTTTGATTCGGATAATTAAAGCGATTTTATTACGTGGATTAAATAATTCATGTGCATCATAAAGTTTAGCACGTTGCGAATGATTGATGTGTTACTGTTTGTTTCTTTCACATATTATCCTTATGAAAATATTTGCACGAAGATAACAGATAGTAAATTCAAAACGTACAGTGAGAGAAAAATGATTGCAATTTATAGTCTTTTTTCAGTGCCAATATATTTTTTGATAGAACTATAACTATGATTATTCAATTAAAATAAATAATTCTATTTTCAGACAAAACGGATTTTGATATTTAATAATATTTCTATATGCAAATTTTTGCAAATACAATTTTCATAAACTGCGCACCGATTAGATTTATTAAATTAAAAAATTCGAAAATAGGATCATTTTTCTTAATCAATTCATTTTCATCGATCTAATTCCTATTATAACACATTATTATTAGTTATTACACCAATATTATAACAGAAACTTTATAACAAATTTTGACTACGAACAATTTTGTCAAAATCCTACGAGAGAGAAATATATATTTCTTCCCTATATACATATTATTTCATTTTTAACTTATACTATCTCAATTTATAATTTAATTAAGATTACAAAATAAGATAGTATAAATTAAAGTGAGATACATAGTATATATAAAGAGAAAGAACACACCTTTAAGTTTTCTCATAGGATTTTGATAAAATCGCTCATGCCTGAACTTTATTATTAGGGTCTTTATACTATAAGTAATAATTATAAAATTGGAGTTTCTAACTATAATTATTTTATCATGCAATTATATAATCACAATCAAATATTTTTCCCTCAATGTATACCGGTGCAAAATTAAATTCTTACACTACTCAAAAAAATAAAAAATATAATTAATAATAATTAACATATAATATATAATTATCATGTTTCACGGTGCTTACATTACGATTTGATTTATTCGAGAAATGTCTAACAAAACAACTCAATTCGAGAATAAAACATCAAATCGAAAGTCTCCAGGTTTCTCTTAGAATATGAATATAAGTTCTATCCTAGATATAGTGTAATATAATAAGATTAATGATACACAAAGATATTTGATTACCTGGTTGCCGAAGACACCAATGCCACAAGCATGGACAAAATACAGGTTTGGCTAATTGCTACCACAGTTTGACCGCAAAATGTGATCCAAAAGCGATCGGGGGCTACGCTAAATACTTTTAACCAGGAACCTATGGCGGTCCCAAGAGCTCCAACGATCACCGTCCATCTGAGACCCTAAAATCCCATATATATTCTTCCATATATTCATCTATTTAATGAGCAGTAATATTACATATCCAGTCAACACAAAGTCTAAAATCGAATCATAAGACTTTTAGAAGATTTTCACAAAGATCTTCTTAATCTAAGAATAATATTTTTTTTTACCTTGGCAGCAAAAAATATAAATATTTTTTTATGAATATTGTTTAACATATTTTTTCTTTTTTACTAACTATTTCATTGAAAACACGCAATAAAAAAGCGCTATTAATTAAAATTTTTATTTTTTAGAAATATCGTTATAATGAACTATTTAACATATAGCTTACTTCGTAAAATATTTTTTTATTTCTACTTACTTTTTTCAGAAAATCGACATTAAATCCATAATGTTCTCAAATACTATCACTAATAATTTGCAAAACAATAAATAATATACAATATATTGTTAATAATAGTGATTTTAATTAAAATATATAAAATATCAGGTGATCGTTTCCGTAAAAATTAGATGATTACTTCGGTTCAAATAAATGTCTTATGTCCCGATTTTTGGGATTTTATGTCTAGGCAAATATTAAACAATAAATTGACGGTAAAAACTATTATCTATTATTATAATTAATAGGATGCATTATATCAGTGGCATAAGATGCTGTAACATTCTTAATATAAACCACGCGATCTTTAATTGTCATTGTGATTTACCACTCAAATCTACGAAAATTAAGAGATGCAATTTTTCCGAAGATGACTGCCGCTTTCTGGTACTCTCGAAAATTGAATATGAGAAAAAAATAATTAAGAATACATTCCAAAACATTCTTTCCAAGGAAGATTATATACTATAGTATGTTACGTATATTATATATTTCGAGTAAAGTTTTTCTTGGACTTTAAGAGAATATATGACAGGTTTTTCGGATTTTCCGTTACTTCATTCTATCCTATCGTTAACGCAATTATTACTTACGAAATTATCAAGCAAATAACTGGCAGGGAATATCAATGGTATATACGTTATCATGTATATCATGCTCGTCATGTCCACTACATAATCCGAGACATTATAATATTTTGCTACAATGTTCGTAATAATACTATATTCAATCCATTGCATAGCGTTGCTAGCGCTGTATATCACAAAGAGTGTGAGGATCAGCCATCGCTTCTTATAGACCTTGATCTCCTGCAATCAAGAATTTTCGATTTTTCAGCTTCTCGGCCACCAAATAATTAAGTATCGTATAATTTAAATGATCTTTAAATCTTGATCTCTTATTCTATATTTTATTGATTGAAAGAAGGAGTATTAAATTCTATATTACATATGTATATTGAAAGTGACACTAAATTATGTACATATTGAATTAATAAACGGTAAATTACGCACAGCATAGTGGATTAATATACGCTATTAGTGGTAAAAGTGACATCAAAGAGTTCTTTAATATAGTTTCACATAAAGTAGGAATCATATATTGACTTTAATTCTCTACTACTATAGTTCTCATGACATTATCTCTCTGGGATAAAAGTCCATTAACTTTTTAAAATGTCAATCCTAAAGGTAATATATAAGAGAGCTACATATAGTCATGCATCGTTACTTTAGCAATCTAGGATGTATCAGTGTGTATGGACTTTCTATAAAAAGTGATTGGAATTGGAAATTTATTTTTTTTAATTCCAGTCACTTTTTTCCGTATAAAAATTAATATTTTATATATATGTATATAAAATATTCATTTTTATACTTTATATATATATTATATATATATGTACATATTGAAATTCATATAATTCACACACATTAAATATTTATACTTAACTTACGATTTTATAATTTAAATAAAAATTGTCTTATTTTATCTTTATTATTTTAAATAATAATTTAATAATAATAACTTAAGGAAAGGAGATTCACGCGAAAATCAACTATCAGTCATTCAAATAAAATTAAAAAAATATATATTTTAAATGCTGAAAATATTATTTTCAAAAATATTATTTTCAGTACTGAATTAAATAATGTAGAAATGAATTATTAATAAAATTTGTTTTATTTTGAAAAATAAATTTTAGAAAATAATCGGATTGTAAAATCCGTATCTTTATTTATTGAATATCCCTTATATAGCATGTAGAAAATAAAATTAGTGGAAAGGATAAAATTTTATCGCAGTTATGTTTTCTTTGAAAAATAAATTTTCAATTTTTTTCTGTGTATTAGTGTTAAATATGCTTATATTTAACATAAGGTATTATATTTGTAATTTTTGACGAGAAATAGTTTCAGGATGCATATAAAAAGACACGAAATGAATATTGAGTGATTGTAATATTTTACTTTATTATTAAGAATTTCTTTCAAAAATTTGCTGCACTAGGTCTTCTTCTTGACATAAAGCTTGTTCTTTTTGTAAATGCAGTTCGTATTATTTTTCTCTATGTCGCATTTATTGTTAGAATCATTAAGAGACTTTGCTATTATTTCCTATATCTCTCATTGTATTCACAAACAGCTTTTGCGATCGCAGCTTCAACAAAATATTTCAATGGAAAAATATCTTGAAAACTGCAGGAAAATAAGCAAATTCTTTCAATGATTCTAGAATGACGCGAAAAAAAAAGATAATACAAACTGTAGTTACAAAATGAACAAGTTTTTGTGTTTAAACAAAGGTTTAAATAGTGTAGAATGTTTTTGAAAAACATTCCTAATAATAAAGTAAAATATTACAATCTCTCATTACTCTTTATTCTTTTTTATATACATTTTTATATCCTGAAGCTATTTCTTGTGAAAAGCATATTAAAAAAAATTTATTTTTCAATAAAAATTTTATAAAATTTTCAATTAATTTTTTTTGTACATGCTACGTGAAGGACATCCAACTAATAAATAGGGTATACTTTACGAACTGATAGTTTTTAAAATTTTTTTTCAAAATAATGCAAAAAAATTTTATTAATAATTTATTTTTACACCATTCAGTTCATTCAATACAATTTTTCAATATTTTTATATTATTCGATACACTATTCAACACGTATTTTAAAAATTTTGTCTCAAAAATTATTTGTAGTTGATTTTTGCGTAATTTTTAAATAAAAATTTTCTCAATTTAAAAAACGGACTTCTAATAATTCAACAAACAAAGCAATAATGGGCGTGCAGAAGTCAAGTGCGGAAATTGTTGCGCAGAAAATTGTTCGCTATCATTAAAAATTAATAAGATCTATTTACTAGTAATAAAATTATAGGGAATCATTTTCTGCGCAACAATTTCTGCGCTTGACTCCTATATGCTCATTGTTGTTTTTTTGTTCAAAAATTTTCTCATTTTTATTATTTTTTTTAAAAACGTGTCTATATTTCTTATTGAAATAACGTTCAGATTTTAAATCACCGCCAAACTATTTTCATAAATACAATATAGAAAAATCTGTAATTTTTTTTATAACTTTTTCATTTGATTAAAAAGATACATGTACATTCTTAAATGATAAAATCGCTAAAAATACCACGTCAATTCAAAGCGAAGATTATTTCCTCGATATCTGCTAGTCTGTTTTTTTTTTCGCAATCATTTGTGATTCTTGTTCATTCGACGATAAAATTATTCACCTGCGTCGGTTGCACGTTGCAATCACCGGAAGGCCCACTCATTTTAAGTAATAACGGTATCCTTTTACAATTTTCGTCAAATTTTCGTGCCGAGCTTCGATCATTAATATCGAGTAATATTAATTAAGAGTGATTAAATCTAGCAGAAGTATCATCGAGAGATAAACCAAGGCAATCCTTCCTTTGAAGCCGCTTTAGTTCCTAAAATTCAAACAAATGTCGATTTCACTTCTTTCATCTTCTACCTCTCGATGAAAAAAAAATTAAAGTGTCAAAATTAAAAGCATTTAAAATATCAAGCGCGAAATAATGTCGATATTTAGATCGAAGAGTATTGTAAACTGTATTACGTCTATTACTTTATATGAAAGCGTCGTTACGAAATTAATCAATTTGTCCATTTGCGTATTCCAATTGTGGACAAATGAAAACTTTGCCGTATATATCATAGATTACGGCGGATTGCAGTATTGATAATTAGGAATGAATAATTTGAAATAAACTATTTCGATGTCATAGTCATTTCACAGAAATGCGGCTGCGAGGTGTGGGCGTTTGTATGCGTGAGTCTTTGTATGTTAATTAGACGCGCATTTATAACATCGATATTCGAATGAGACAATCGAGACAATAATTATACTAAATATATCAACATTAAAAATCGAATTAAATCATTAAACATCTGTCTGGGCACTTTTGATTTCACACAAATTAATATTATTTTAAATTTTGATTTTATATCTCACGCTGATATTCCAAATAAGAATTACAGTATAAGATTAATAATTTTGCGAATATGTCGAGCAATCGCGACAAATTATACTCAAGTGTTATAATAAAAACTAGGAATTGAGGAAAAATATCTGCAATCAATTAGAATTGAAACACTTCGAAGATTGAGTTCGATTAGAGAATAACTTTTTTATTTGAAACCTAAATAATATTTATCTAAGTGTTATTTATAAATATTAAAATAAGTTTTATATATATATCTTCACATTAAAATAGCATTATAAAAAGATATAGTGTAATAATTTTAAAATATCTTCGTATATTTTCAGACATGCAGCAGCATAATTTAATACCTTCACTAATCTGAAAATATTAATATTTATCGCATAAAACATTAATTATATTAGATCACATAAAAATTATATCACATAAAAATATTAATTATATTAGATAATAATGCAATTAAATATTGAAATATTTTATTATACTATTATATTATATGTGTGAGTAAATATTAATTTCTCCTAATGATTATTATAATGAAATATTATTAAAAGATGATTAAAATCATAAAAAAGGGAACGAACAAGAAGAGCGAAATTAATTAGGCCGCAATCAGACTATATTGAAAATTGAGATTAAAAATTGAAATTTGACCAGTAAGAGAGAGAGGACAAAGGAATTTTAATTTCTACTGTTTTGATTTCAATCTTTCAATCCTCAATTTCAATCTTCAATGTCTGATTCTCTCCGGTCTTACACTAAAAAAAGTGTTGTATTAATTGGAATTGTTTTGTTGAAGTATTTAAAAGCTTAGTTACAGATCTAGCTAAGCTTTTAAATTAAAACAGAAAATAATTACGTAGAAATCTCAACTATGATGACACAAAAAATGTCGACCTTCTCGCAACCAGTTTGGTTATCCTACATAATTACTTTGATGTCCCAATAAAGTTTCAAACCTGTATAAAGCTAAAATATATTTAGATATCTCAATAAAATCGTTATTATCGTGATTTATTTCTCGTTTATTTTGAACTATCAAACATAAATCAAAGTCAAGTGATTTGATTACTTTACCAGAACAAATGATGGTCCCATCAACTCACGATCGTATCTTTATCGAACCGCACAACTTGAATTTCCCATGACGCATCCGACTTTGAATGAATGATTTTCCGTAAAGACGGTCAGATTACATCAATGCGTCACACCTCGTTGTTGCCGGTAACGCGTTGATCCCGATAGCGTGAATGATAAAATGCGGAGCGCTTTCGTGATACGCCGGACGTAGACTAAGTGTATCGCGGGAGTCGCGAGAGCATCTAACTGATTCTGGCCTTCCACAAACGTCCCTTGTCCATCGTCCCCCGCCGCCCACACCGTATAGTCACGCACGTGAAAATATTTGCGCGCACAGACGAGCTACACGCTGTCTGTTGCACGCGGGACATAACGCGCGCGCCTATCAATGACGGTATCAGTTGATGAATGCGCCGTCGCAATACTAGTCGTTCACGAGTATCCGACGGAATCACAGACGACGACGGTCGCCATCGCCATCAGATGTGGAGAAACGCTCGGCAAATATCTCTCGAGATCGCGCGAAGTGTGGCATCAAGCCAGAATTTTGCAATTTGATGCTATGTGTTGGTTTACTAGCAATGCAATTTTGAGAAGTAACGCTTTAGAATAACTGAAAGTTAGAATAATTAAGGTCGATGAAACCTTCGTCTTTTTCCTGTGTCTGATTTGTGAACGCTAAATCGTAAGTTTTCCTATATGGAAAGAACGATTTTGCTGAAATCTAAGAGTTTAGATAGATTTTAAAATAATTTTGTTTGTCAAAATAATTATGTAGGTTTAATAGGTTTAAAGGTTGCTAAAATGTCTTTTGCAGAATTACTCATAATGAGACATCTACGTAATTATTTTAATAGTGCAACAAAGTTATTTATAGATCTGTATCTACAAGGAAAGAATTGTTTTTCTAAAGAATCTAAAAATTTTGCTAGACATACATTCGAAAATTTCTTTGGACTATCAAAATAATTATGTAGGACATCCAAAAATTGAATATCTACAATTTTTGCAGAATTGCTCATAATGTTCGAGATATGTACGTAATTATTTCAATTGTCCAACAAAGTTATTTTTAGTTATGTATCTACACGAAAAAAATGCATGATTTTTGCCGAAGTATCTAAAAATTTATAAATCTGAAAACAATTTTATTGGATCATTAAAATATTTATGTAGGATCAAACTAGTTGCTAAAATGTCAAAATTTTTTGAATAATATATTATTATAATGCTTAAGATATCTACATTATTATTTTAATGGTCCAATAAAGTTATTTTCAAATCTATGCCTATGGAAAAAATGATTTTACAAAAGTTTTAAAAAATTTAGCTAGATGCAGATTTGCAAAATAATTTTGTTGGACCATCAAAATAATGACGTTCAAACTAGTTGCTATTTTGCTAAAATGTCAAAACTTTTTGTAGAATTGCTCGAAATGCTTGAAAGACATAACGATTTACGTAATTATTTGAATAGTTTAACAAAATTATTTTCAGATTTTTAACTATATAAATTTTTAGATAGTTCAAAATCGTTCTTTCCATGCTATATTAACATTTATGGAAATTATTCATACGTTTAATGGTTTTGTTTTTATATAAGTTGAACAGACACACACACATAACACAAACACAATTTGTACAAAGCAGAGGTTTATCTGAAAAGATAATAAATACTTTGTATTAATCATTGCGTGGCAATGAACTTTTTATGCATGCCGCAGCTGTATTTGCATAATCCTATTGTATATAATGTCTAACGAATCATTGAATACAATAATAGCGTATTTTTATTGTCGATACAATACAGTGAATAGACTCAAAATAAACTTTATAATATAAAAATTTTCATTGCAAAATTTTCTATCGAAAAAGACAATCTGATACAATTACTACCGCGTATTTAGGTAAGGAAAATTCCATGGACGAGAATAAAATTTATACACACATAAGCAACGAAAAGGATGTCCACAGAAATGCGCATATAAATTCCTAATCTCTCACCAGTTATCTTCTGATGACTTGATTTCTTTTCAATACGTATGGAGTTCTATGCTTACTAACGATGTTTCGAAGTCGACTAACCTTAACAGACTGCGTCAAAAAAACTTCTTGTTGACTTACTTAACAAACTGAAGCGTAATTAAATAATTGCAGAAAATAAATGTAATGAAGCAAATAAAAAGCGAGGTTGCAATTGATAACCCGAAATGCAGATTAATTTCAATATTAATATTTAATTATTATAATTAAACTTTATGTTGAAGTTATGTTAGTTTATTAAAATTGATTTAATTAACAAATGTATATTAATCAAAATATTTAAATGAAATTTGCAACTGGTTGTTTATATTATATTTTATTTATATATCGTAAATATTAAATGATTGCATAATTAATATGACAAAATTTTTTGTTTTAAATAACTGCGATATCCAACAATTGTTGCTCACGTACAGATAAGAAAATTCGGCATTTATTCACATTTTTTGGAATACCAGTAAAATACCGATAGCTATAATAGTAACCAAAAGACACTGTGAGTAAACCGTTGTCTTATCAGTTGCACGGAATTGTACGAGATAACATACGTATGTATTTGATATGACTCACTTCAAGTTTCACGGTCTAAAGAGAAGCCTTGTTTTATAACAATACTTGGAATTTTATTCACGAATATACCATTATATATGAATGCAGAAAGACAAGCACTTTTTATTGCTGGAAGTGAAATCGATATAATTGTGTTCCTGGGGTGAGTTCTACATGAAATTAATTATTTCAGTTCTCTTATATCCATCATCTGGCGCGATTTTATTTAATGTGTTCCACGTCGCATTATGATTTTAATTGTATCTCTTCTAATAAATTAGAAAGTAGAACATGGCACAATTGGGGGATTTAGTTTACTGTATTATCAGACACTAAACTCAGCATCAAGCTACATCAGTTTTATCTAAATTTTAATTTTACCTTCGGAAGAAAACCGATCAGGGAGGATGGGTCGTCGCCGCCATTGAAGCTTGATTCTGTTGCTCTTTTAACTTTCATTATCACAAGCACTCGAAAATTCACTCAAAACGCAAGTTTTTAATTAGGAAGATAAAAACACAGTCGTCAATTGGAAAAGCGTCAAATAAACTAATTCCTCTGCCAATTCCGATGAGCGATAATCCGATAATCAGACGTTCATTAACCTTCGAGTATCGTTCTTCTCGATCAGCAAAAATAATTCGATATACAAGCGAAAAATAATCGCCACGAATGAATAAAGAAGGCGATTTTCTCTCTCTTCGTTTCGACGTATCACGCACAATAAGATCGGCGAGGCAGAGTCACGTTCCAGCGTTAAACGCAGAATACTAAATGAAGCTCTTCAGACGATAACTAAATAAACTCATGGTGTAATAAGATAAGAGGTCTGTTCACGTTGCTTGCACTTTTTACACTCAGCATCTTTGCTTTCTCTCTTTTCAACACCCAAATGTATACACTGAGAAAAAAAAATGCTGTTGATTCAATTAAAGCCTATATTACGGGCTGTCACTGACATAAGTAATTAATTCATGTATATTTTTATTGACAAAAAGGCCTTGATTATTGAAATAATAATTTATGCCTTTGTGTTAATAAAAATATACATGAATTAATCACTTATGTTAATGACAGCCCGTAATATAGACTTTAATTGAATCAATAGCCCGTAATATAGACTTTAATTGAATCAACAGCATTTTTTTCTCAGTATATCTATCTTATTTTAATTCAAATATTTTGAGGGATTTCTCTCTCAAGCAACGCAAGTAGACCTAAGGTGAAACGTTACCGCGGATGCGCGAATTTAGGAGATCGAATTTGGACTAAAATTTGATTGGCTGTTCAATGCTGCTGCTATTATACGCAGAAAAGTACATTTGGATCCAAATTTGATTGATTGTTTCCAGTGCTATCGCCATTATGCGCCTTTCACCTTATCTTATTAAACCATAGATAAACCAATAAAGCCGGCAATTAGGGATATCGTTTCACATGAGGATGGTAAGGTCACATGATAATTTATTATTGCAAAATAATAATAAAACATCATGCAACATTCGAAGACTTTTATTTTTAAAAAATCAAACATGCAAAGCGAATGCCTAACAAGATGTATTTATCTGTTTCTCCCATTTCTATTTTTTCTATAAAGGATCTATTTGTAAAACTGCAGTGTTAAGATGCTTTTCTGTTGATTCTAATAAGTGATTAGAAACTAATAATGAACGCGAACCGTCTGCGACACGTAAATTTTATTTATAATTGTGTAATTGTTACAATTCATTTATTAACAAACTCTTTCAAGATTAAAATATATGTTTTTACTGCACGTGTAAAGATTCACATAATTAATTATTTAAAAAGGAGGAAAAATATTATGATTATTAATTACTTAGATAGAAAAGTACATATGTATATAAATTACATGAAAGTAATATTAATTACGAGCAAAATAAAAAATTATTTACGAAGAAGCGATTGTATCAAGAAACATTGCATGTGGTATAAACAATATGGTATTAGCAATACGTGTATCAAATTATCAACTTAAGATAACATGCTATTATCACGTGAATTTGTATCTTGTTACACGAACGCTAATATGATGATATTTTCATGATATAATATAGCGTCATCAAAAATATTATTTTATATTTCAGCAACTCAATCTGCAGTATAAATATCGCGTATACACAAATAGAGAGAAAAATAAAGAATGATATATATTGTGGCAATAATCTATCATTAGCAAATGAATCTATACATTCGCATGCATTTACTTTCACAGATACGGCATAATTACTTTATCTTTTAACAATATTAGATAACATTTAGATATATTAAAGATATAATTTTAACGATAATAATTTTAGAAGTCAAGAAGAAATTCCTTACTCTATATCTATAATTACTTTAAATTAACAATACACCATTAGTTTAGTAAGAAAATGACATCAACATTATCTTAAAAATATTACGTCTCTTAGCAAAAAGAATTAAAAATTTGATAAAGAAAAATAATTTTTTAACAAAGTAACGTTTTGATAAATATTTTCTTGAAAGTCATATCTTTTTCAGTTAAGCATATGTAGATAACTGTAAATATTATTAAAAGTTTTTTAAGAATTTACGTTTACTTAAAGTATAATAAAGCGTATTGAAGTATCTTCTAAAAAAACAAAAGTATCTTCAATATGCTCAATTTATTTATATTTATTTATATAAATAAATTTATTAAATAAATTTAATTTATTAATTTAATTTATTAATGAGTTCCATAGTTTATATACACGGAAAGAATGATTTTGTTGAAGTATCTGAAAATTTAGCTATAGATACAGATTTGAAAATAATTTTGTTCAACTATCAAAATAATTATGTAGAACGCTCAAATTAGTTGCTAGACTGTCAATGTTTTTGCAACATTGCTTGAGTTTCCTGCATAATTATTTAATATTTTCTCACGATTCAAAAAATTATTTTTAAGCCTGTATCTAAATACTTAAAATTTAAATACTTCAGCAAAATCATTTTTTTCGTAGATATTCAACATTCCACTGAGTCTAGTAATAAGAATTTGACATATTTCACATGCACTAATGTTAACAGTCAAGACATTATTCTAAATACATTAGAAATTTTAAATACATTAGAAATTCTAAATACATTGAAATAATAAAATATTGAAAATATAATCTACTTTTATAATCTCTTATACTCTTCCTTCTTATTATCTTATACGAGAAAACATATACATGAGTTTTTGCCTGCAACGAACTGAAAATCACAACGTCAACAAAAATGATATGTTTAAGATCCCGAAATATGACGACAAATGGAAACGCGTCAGTGAAACTCACGTGCTTCCCGCGTCACGAGGAAGCAATTGTTAACAATTGTCGCGCATTGTGCGAGTCGAGAAAAACGAGTTCTCCCAACTCATGGTGAGACTATTCGCGGAACTGTAAGAAACTTGGTTTCAGTTGTGCCTTATCGCGAGCACGGAACAGATACGACCGATCCGCGAATGCAACTCTTATGAAATTTTTCGTGTGGAGAAGAGAGCGGTTGCGGCTTTCGTGTGTGTCTCTGAAATAGAGAACGCTCTTGCGTTTGCTTCGTGGGAGAGATAAATCGCGCGTGAAAGAACAAGTAGATAAAGTGGAGGTGCGAAATACGACGTAAATTGGGAGATACGAAATTTCAAAAACAAAAAAAGAAACGAGATTATAAGTTTATGTTGTATGTAAAATCGAATGAATATCTATTTTTCAAGAATGATTTTATTAGATTCTTCTTCATGACGGAATAAGAATACTAAATGTTATTAGGTTAAAAAACGCTACGAATTAATTCCAACACCTAATAATTCTACAATACATTTTACATGTGCATACATGAAAAACATGACTACACTTTTAACTTTTGATATAAAAAAGTAATTTAAAAAATATCAAATTTTATTACATAGTTTTGCTGAAGTATCTAAAAATTTATATATATATAAAGTTTTGACATTTTAATCAGTTTGTGTGAGCAGCCTATATAATTACTACTTGGTGATCCAAATTATTTTTAAATGCTTATATGCAAACAAAATTAATTTTCAGATGTATATCCTGCTAAATTTATAAATATTTCAAAATCATTCTTTCTATGCACAATTATAATAAAATAAGAATATAATATAGTTATAATTTAGAAGATTTTATTGATTTCTTTGTTAAAGTATGAAGTATTCATAATTGTCAAAATTTATAGAATATTTATACAAATATCGAATAATTCGAATAAATTATGAAAATTGAGCTTTAAAATTTATAAAATATTTTAATTTTATAATTTTTCATCAATCACTATGGGAATTCGGCTAATATTGATATCGAAAGGGAATATTTTAACGATATTCAGTATCAAAGGTCACGGGAAATCAATAAAAACTAAACATATATGTGACTAATATCATTAAAAATAGGCGTATACACTTAATTATCGAGAATAGAAATATTTTCTGCATTTAGTTCTATCCGTGTATGCGATGCTTTTACTATTCAAAAAATATCTACGCGTTTTAAAAATTAAATATATAATTTAAGAATAATCTAGATTTATTAAATTTAAATATTTTTACATATAAATTCTACGGAACATATAGCTGTAATTTCAAAGAATTTCTAACTTTCTAATTTTACGGAATAAATATCCATATTAAATATAATACGGATTAAGAATATTTATAATTAAATATAATATTTTAACATATTTTTTGTGAATTATTTAAAAAAAAGACAAAAAATCATATGCATTTTAATTAAATATTAATTAAAAGATTTCACATGAATATATGAATGAAATTATATAATACGATCATTCATAGATTGTTACAATCTAAAGATAAAAGCGATATCATTACTCTCACTCCAAACTAATTGAAAATTAAATTAGATTAATTATTTGCGGTTCTAATTATTTCTTGCAAATAAAGATCAAATATCCTCAAATATCCAATATAAGCGCCGAATTTTGATTATTTGAAGAAATTTATGAAGATTTTAAAGAAAGATAAAGCTTGCTAATTATAATTGTGCACTGATTCGAATATTTAGAAAAATATCTTTACTGGGAAATAAATGAATGTTTACTGGAAAGCCGTTGTATCAAATTCAGTTTAAGACAGGAAAAAATTAAATTAAATACAAGAGTTACATGTTTGACAGAAATTGCGAACATTACAAAGCGTATTTCTAGAGAACACTTCCGCATAATAAATTTCAATTCAGGTAAAATAACAATATCCTCCTGGACATGCTCTTGTTTGTGTGACAATGCTAATCGCTTTGGAATGATTCTATGATACCCCACGCTATGTCAGATGATTGGTATCGATTATATATCGACATACGTAATATCATATCATATCACAAAAAGCGCGAGTAACAGTCGATTAAAGTGCGTATTTCCAGTCGCATCAAAATACAATACTTCGTCGTTAAAAGGATCATCATTCTTGCGCGAAGAGAGAAACTCGTCCGAGGAAAAAGTTTTTTTGTTGCGTTTTTATTGAAGATCACTTTCTCGTCTTTCGAGCTGTTGAACGAAAATTATTCAACGAAAGAAATGATGGTCTCGTCTAGTATGAGTTTACTGGCGGTCGGAATAGCTTCTGGAATTTTTCTTTATATCAACCTTCGATCAAGGTAAGTGTTAAAAATATTTTAAAGATTGATTCCCTCCTTCTTGAAAAATATTGTGTTCTATATTAAATACTTCCTGAAATTTTTTCATAATGATATTGCATTTATTTGATATTGCATTTAATATTTTCTCGAGAGAAAGAGTTATTAAAACAAGTTGACACACGAAGAAATATATTTTTAAATCCTCTAATTTTTCGAATTATATACAGTTGAATTTAGAAATTATTAAAGATGTATTACATGTATTTTTTAATAAAATGAAAAAATTATGAAAAAATTACAGATTTTTCTATATTGTATTTGAAAGTAATACAAAAAATTTGGTATTTAGCTATTTAGAACTTAGATTGAAAATTATTTCAATAAGACATTGACATGTTTTAAAAAAATAATTAAGATAAAATGAGAAAACTTTATTTAAATTATAAAATTGTATTGTGAAATATAAATTTATTGATATGATGTTGAAATATAAATGTTTCATATACGTATATAACATTCAATTTTATACGGAAAGTATTATATAAATTTCAAATTCCAATCACTTTTGTAGAAAAAAAAGTATACACCTGTAATACATTCTTAAACTTTTAGATTATTAATTTCTGAATTATATTATTCTGAAGATTCTTGATTTTTCTAAAACTCAAACATTCATATTATGTAAATTGAAACCGAAAATTATAAATATTGAATATGCAAATGAATTTTGAAAATCTTTGAATTTTTATCAATATTATGAAATCTATTATTTTACATTCTGAAATGTCAAGAAGTTAAACATCTATTTAATTTTCGACATTTTAAGAAAATTTAGAATTTTTCTATAAATCAAAAATAATTTTTTTAGTGCAATCATATAGTTTTTTCGTATATTAATTATTTTTATACTAAGCATTTTTGAACAGTGATGTAATCAGTGGCAATAATGTAATCTAAAAATTCCAGGATTATCAATAATAGAATTTATATTTATCGTGATCGCATCAATACCTAAGTTACTTTTTATGATCCCCTAGAAAAACCTATATACTATTGCAATAATCTCGCCGATGTTATTATATATCTGATTATCGCACCAAACAATTGCACAATTGTGTTCACGCTTATTTTTTATATCTATTTATGAATTGTGTTTTCTGCATTTAAAACATAGAAAAACAAATATTATTCTGTTTGAAACAGCAGATTTTCAAACATAATCTATATTTTAACCTCAGTGAATGGTTTTATCAGTAAATCGCATATCAATAAAGATAAACGTTGAAGTTTGACAATACCTGACTACCGCTTCGAAACTTGGAATTGTTCGTGGCGCAACAAAAGCAAAAATGATTTGTTGTTTCGCCGATTTAAAATCGTGGCAGATTTATTAATTCACAAAGTAGATCGATACCTATCACTTGCTGGTTCTAATAATAAGATAACGAGATAGCATTGTGTCGCCTATGACCCGAATTAAAAATTGATTTCACCTTTCAGTATCAATGCTTATAATAGAAGCAATACTGTAAAATCATGTAAAGATTCGTAGATTGTATTATATATATATATATATACAAACTATTTTCGTAGCTTGTCAGATTTGTCGATATTCTTTTATATCTGGAAGAATCTTCTTATTTCGGAAAGTGTATAAATTATTTTTTCATGAGCTCTCTCTCAAAAGTTCAAAAACACACGTGTACTCAACCGAAATAAATCGCGCTTACCGGACAAGTTATTTTTCTATGCTGCATAAAATAAGATTGCGCTTCTCTTGAATTATTCTCAATAAAGGAAAAAGAAATGCATAATTAAGATTTTATTCTGAATAATTAAGATCACGCGAGTGATAATGAAGATCATCGAAATGGAACAAGATAATTTCTCATAGATAAAAAAAATATCGCTGTAATATCATCAAAAAAAAATTATATATTGTCGAATTAAGATCATAATTGTCAATGATATTCCTAGCAATTAATTTCGTCATCAAAAAATTATCCCAATGATTATTTCATTTTTGCTGTGCACACAAATCTATCACTTAATATTTCAACTAATAAGCGGAAAGAACAATTTTGCTGAAGTATCTAAAAATTAATTAGACATAGATTTAAATAAAAAAACAATAAAAATCAAAGCGAATGAGAGTGCAGCGCGGCTAGCAATGCGCAAAGAATAATATAAAAACTTTTACTGATTTATTTTTAGCAAAATCATTCTTCCTGTGTATAAAATTTTTCATTAATAATGACTTAATGAAAAATATGTTATCAAAAGTATCTTTGATATATTCAATATTATTCTATTACCACTATCATGACATTGAGTGATAAAAAGTGATAAAAGTGAAATAATAAAAAGTTTAAAATCATTAAAAACTTGTATTAAAACTTATATCAGATTAATGATGGTCTGCCATAAATTCGATGTGAATACAATAAAATATCGAGAGTGTGTGAGAAGTCAACATTGACAAGAATATAAGTATATAAAAATATAATTAAATGAAAAAAAAAGTAAATAAGATAAATTTAAAACATAAAAACATCATTCCTCCGTGATTAATATAATATATTAATCATCACGGAGGAATGATGTCATAATATAACGAATTCTATCAATCGATCATTTGTAAATTCAATGCATGGATTTGTTTTTTAATAAAAATCACTTCTGAAATTAATCTTTCAAAACTTTTTCTCTCGTCAAGAATCAAGAAGTTGTTGCAATAAAAATCATGATTATGCTGAATTCTATGTTCCGTAATAACTGAATGTTATGTAGTGTTCTTTTCGTCTCTATCAGATATTTTCAGTTATTTAATAAAATCATTTTTTCCGCGTAAATTTTAGATTGCTTTTAAATAACGCTTCGCCATCAATGATTTATCTTTCTTATATTCTTAATTTCGCATTTATACCCTACGCGCGGACTTTTCCTTCCGCGACTCAAATCCGGCATACACGATTACGCCGGTAAGAATATTCCGTGCAATGCTCTCGAACGGATCGCGTGAATAATAGTCGGCGTGGTCTCGCGACCTCACAGACGAGCCGGTTTAGGATCGCGGTATCACCGGAAGCGCCCACGACGCGGTGATGCGTGCGATGAGACGTATATCGACGACATATCGTCATTAAGAATGCACGTGGCGGGCCACGGGGCGTGGAGTACGTCAATGGTAAAACGTCGGGCGTTGCACAATGTACATATCGAGCTGTGTTGAACAATAGACGCAACGGCGCGTAGGGGAACCGGAAGCACGTACAGGAACGCCATCTCTTCATTGTCGGGATATTCGCTGTCGCGGATAGTCGGTCTCGCCCGGTGCGAAACGCTCGCTCGAACGCGAAGCGATATCTCCGAAGGTGTCGAGGATGTCCTCGGGCGATTCTCGTCCGTGCAGAAATTGATCGCACTTTCCGATGTGCATTGATTGCCAAAGTTTTCCAATTACTCGAAATTGATTTTCCAAGGAATCATATGGCTGTTGCATTGTGGTCTACCGCAACGATGAAAGCGTAAATCATTGGAGTGTTTCTGGCGTTACATCGCTTTTTGAGATCTCCTGCTCTACATACTTCGAAGCAATTCTCCGTAAAGTCCGCTTTGTCTGTTATAAGAGCGGTAACGTAAGGAACAGAGACTTGAATGCACATTTGACGTCACTAGACGAGGAGGCTGATGAAGTTGCTATTCAATGGTGGAAATTAATTTTCTGCATTAAAGCTGAAAGTCTGAACTATTTTCTATTTCAAGAGCGATAATTTTCAATTAAAATGAAAGATTCATTATGCGATAGAATCGCTAACATAATGAAAAATAAATTTACAAATTAGAAAAAATCAATAGTTTAACGCAACAAACATCTTTTCTTGATATATTGGTGTTGCTATAAAGAAAACAGCACGAAAGTGTAAAAAAAATAATATTAAACGATCTAAAAAAAAAATAAAGTTTATATGAAAAGTAAGATGTAACGTTCATAAAATATAAAATAGAACGAAGTCAAGAAAGAAATAAATTATTCGACGATAAATTATTCGACAGTTTCAATTGAAAAAGAAGAAAGATCAAGCAGATCATCTCTTGCCATCCTTATTTTTATTCAATGAGAATAACGCGAGGCGTTCGCGTTGATATTCATTACGAGACCGGGCTGAAGCTGAACGACCGATGAAACATTTCTTTCTAAGGATCTTCTGCGGGAGAAAGCGAGAGAAACGGTAAGTGCGAACAGTGACTCTGCGCGGCTCAATAATTACTGCATACTTGCAAAACTACTCTAATGAGGTGATGTTAGATTCTTATTCAATTATACTAGATCGCGTAAACGGAGGCTTTCTTACAAAGATAGCTCATGGATAAATTGCTACTTCCCATCGTACACCTCATGTCCCATTTACAACGCATTTTCTCACGGAAAAAAAAATTTTCGTCTATTTCTTTGGAAAAGAAAAAACATGATAGGCACTAATTAAATTAACATAATTGAACAGCGTTTAATTAAAAGAAACCAAAATCTAGAAAATATATAATAAAACGCAGTTTTATATTTTCAGAATATAATCTTTTATGTTTCAAAATAATTGACATCAGACTTACATATCTAATAAAATTTATATTATATACAGTTAAGATGACATTTTATTTATGTATTTATAAGTTGCAAATATAATTTTCCTTCACGATTTCTTTTTTCCTTACACGGCTTATTTAAGACGTTTAACACTGGCAACTTTATTTTTAACTATCCTTAAAAATTGAATATTATATCATTATACAAAACATCAAGGGAGAGTCGATTAATAGATGTAGGATTCGTTGAGCAATGAATACAGTGATGCTCGCTCAAACGGAAAAGGCATTTATTATATAATAAGAAACGATTATAGAAGCGAGAGGAATTACACGATAGATGATGTAATCATATTACAACAGCGCGCGTCAGATTTATGCATCGTCTATCTTTTATGTGCAAATAAATAAATGTTCAAAGCGAAAGACTATTATTTTTGTTAGTCATTAAAATTGATGAATTCTATAAAAATAATCAACTCCATTAATCGAGAGAGAAAGAAAAAGAGGGAGGGAAGAAAGAAAAGAGTTAGTTATAATTGATTCTCTAAAATTATTTAGAAATTCAAAAGATTAAAAAAATTTTTAGTTTAGTAGCATATTATTATCCAAATTTAAGTTATAACGCATATATAAAAATAAGAAAAAATTTTAGAAATATCTATCTCGAATAATATAAATTTTTACATCCATAAAAGAATGAATCAGTGTTCTATTCACTTTCATTAATTGTAATTTTTATATTTTGGTACAATCCATTCAATGAATAATTTGTCACTTATTATCACCATGTTTTTAAACAGAAAAAGAATTCTGTTCTCTTTAATATTTAATGACAAAAACATTTTAAACATATGAAATGGAACAAATATAAATCTCATAAAAAAATAGCGAACTACAATAATATGACTATCTAAAATACGGCTATTACTAATTATTAATCATCTCGAGATTATACAAATTGGCATTATACAAATTAAATAAATATTCGTGTCATAATTCCATATTATATCATCGTATTCTTATTAAAATTGATGAGTTAATATTTGCATGAGAAAAAAAATCAGTACTTGCAATTCCTAGTATCAATGAACATTTTAACGATCGCCAAAATTCAGTGAAAGTTTCGATCAATCACAACAACTCTTGGGTCACCAACTAAAGAAAAAAAGAAAGAGAAAGAGAGATAGAGAGAGAAAGAGAAAGGAATACATCGTCACGAGAATGTAACGAAGACGGAGGCTCCTACCATCGCACATAACAGCGTGATACTGAGTTTCCCCGGCTACCAACGATTCACTGTCACTTTCGAACCGACAGTCCGGTACGAGGATACGATCGCGCCGGTTCTGCAGCGTGAATGATCCATGGAAATGTCATGCCGAGTGAATTAATACATTGCGGTTTGACCGCGGGCCAAATTCATATTGTCATCAAAGACGTGAGTTAAATTAAAACTCTGTCAAAATTGAGATTAGAGCCTTCTTGCCTTCTCCATTACTAGAAAAGAGCTCTTCATGCTGTCCAATCTAAATTACTGAAACAGTCCAATCAAACAGCGAACCAGAATATAAGCAGCATCGGAAGAAAATTTAAGAAAAGAGAGAGGAAGACAAAGGAAAAGAGAAGCAGAAAAGCCACTTGGCGAAGATTATCTGGAGGAATGTAGACAGTAAGAATAGTTTATACAGTGAAAGGAAAGACATAACAAAGGATCCGAGTACAGGAATTATTTAAAGAAATTGAAGACGCAGCGTTAAAACTTTCACAGAAAACATAGTAATTCTAACTGTATGTTAAAGATAAAAAAAGGATGGATTGAGCCAAAAGGAAGAAGATCGTAGAGATCGAATTGTCCAAACCTGAATAACAAGATAATATTTTGTGAGAACGTTAAAAAAAGCAATAGAAGAAAGAAGAAGCTAATCAAGAGGTTCTGAAAAAGAAGAAGAAGCATAAGGAATAAGAAGAAGAAGAAAAAGAAAAGCTCGAACAAGTTTTAAGTATAGAAATTTGGATGATCTGAGCACATAAAGACAGAATTAACTGAAAAGAAAGAGATTAGAAGTTTAAGTGACAAGAAATTACTTACAAGAAACAATTGACCAGAGAGAATTTAATTCATCGGAAATACATTTCCTTGAGATTAATTGCACCAGTTAAACAGAACAGAATCTACAGTGAAAAGTAGAACGAAATCCAGAAAAAAGCGAAAAGAAAGAAGAGGTAAAAAGAGTCTAATTGAAAATATTTCCTAAAGAAATCAAAGTGTGCAATTACGCGAACATGTTCAATTGCGCGTGAATACGTGAGGCAGAAGAAAGAAAAAGAAATAGCAATTCAGCGTAATAAACTGAGGGAAAAAAAACAGAAAATTATTACTAAGCTCTTGGCGCAAACAGATTCAAGATCTTGAAACATAAACAAATTTCTCAAATCAAAAATTAGTTTCGTATGTAATTTTTACGCAGATTCATTACCTTCTTACGTAAAATTAAGTACACAATCTTTCTCATAAAGTGTACACATACTACACATAAAAAGTGAAGCTCGATTGTGATAGCGTGATGTGTGCAACGTTACATAAAACTACGTAACTGCCGTCGATCGTGCAGTGGAAAGCCGCGATCGCGTAACCGGCGTTTAGATTGGAGCGCGTTCAGCACGAAATACAATCATCGTCGCACGAGATCGAGATAACGGATATGAAGTTGCAGGAGAATGCCGGAACGTAGAATGGATGAACCAAGGAAGTCGACAGGGAAATCGAAGATTATCGTAGCCAGATGCGGAATCGCCGAATCACCGTGTCCAACGTCGTAAATAAGAGATTAGGGACGAAGGAACTTTCGCGTATTAAATTAATTTGCGAAGTTTATGCATCGTGGTATCTGGGTGGTCCTAATTTTCTCGGAAATTTTCCAGAGAATCAGCGGAAGTCGATCGAACGCCAGTTAGAAATATTCGACTGAAATAATTGGCAATTAACTATAATATTTTTCTTTCGGATTGATTTAATTAATATCCTATGATTAAAAAATAAAAGGAGAAATATTTAGAGGAAGATTAACGTTGATTTGGATTAATCGTGATTAACTGTAAATTTTTTTCATCTAATTGATAGTGCTATGCAATTTAAAAAGCGACAATAATTATCTATTCAAAAGTCAGAGTGGAGTGTGTATGTGCGAACGAACAATTGACTTAATTATATAATTTCACGATCTCTTTTCCATGATTCACATTGTGCCAAGTATTGCAGTCCTTTTCTAGAAAACTAGAAAAAAAAAGACATAATTTTTAATTAGAAGACAAAGCGTCATCTTCATTCTTTTATAAAGAGAACTTCCTTGTGTTGTCCACTCAGCAACATGTTGATCTACGTCTCTCTGATCTCGGCACTCTTAATTGAGAGTGATAAAGTTGTGCTCGGTCAGGAAAGGTATAATATGGCAACTTTTATGGTCCTGTTCTTGCTAATTACCATCGAAGTTGTGGTGGTGAAGGTGGTTACCTCCGACATGGAACGGGATGAAGATAGTCACTCAATAAGCGCGGCCGCGGTGTTCTTCGATCACGAAGATTAGACACGCACGGTTATCAGCCAAATTAGGAATATCTGATATTTCAATTATTTCAATTATTTCAATTATTTTTTATTCGGAAAGTGGCACAAGCCATTGAAACAATTTCGTTAACGCTAACGTTTTCATGACATAAAAAGATACGTTCTTTAGAAACCACATATATTTATATAAAACTTCCGCATATTTATATGAAAAATTACTTAACCATTTTAAAAACACAATTATAGAAAAAAAAAAGAGAAAGTAAAGTCGCATGTTTCAGACAATTAAATCGCAATGATGTTAGGCAGATCCCACTTAACTTCTTGACTGGGATAACCAATATTGCGTGTTACAAGTGGAAAGAAATAACAGCATCGATTTATGACATGCGTGTTTGACTTCTGCCACTTTCCAAATAAATATAAACTGTTAATTAAGTGCGCGCAATGACCGAGAAAAAATAACTAGAAATGCGCGCTATTGTAGCATAAAACCGTATCCATGTTATACCTATTTATAAATACTTTCTATTACATTCTCTTTCGTATCTACTATTGGCTCGCACCAATTACAGGTTTCGATAATGTGGGATCTCATGTAGTAATATCGATATACGGAATGCCTTACAAATGTCACGGACTTCTTCTCAATATACGACTAAATCCTTCTTAAATAAAACAAAATTTTTTTCGCTGCTAAACTAAAATTTTTATTACTGAAGTTGTAATTAATAAACAAAAAATTATATCTTTTGATTATAATTCAAACTTTATCTCTGAAATTATTTAGTTTTAATTTAGAACGCAATTCCAAATTATTCAATGCTGAAAAGTATGTGAATAAAATAATATGCTATGCAATTTTAAAAGAACTTTTAATTCAAGCAAAAATTAAAAAGATTTTTATACAATCTAATTAATAATTATATTATTATGTATTAGGTGTTGGAATTAATTCGTAGCGTTTTTTAATGAAAGAATGTTATTTATTTCACATGAGCATTAAAAAATACATTAATGAAAGTACTTCCCATCACTTGTAAAACGCTACGAATTAATTCCAACACCTAATATTATAACAGATTATTTAAATACCAAATAATATTCGATTTGATTAAAAAAATAACTAAAAGCGTTCCAGTCAAACGGGAAATTTAAAAATTTTAAAAATTATTAATTTTTGCAAGGCAATTATAGTCTCGAAAAAAAACTTTCGTCTCTTATTCGTTTTTGCGGAACTTCGTACATTAAATATGCATTGTGTTAATAGTCAGTGCATGAATATACAGTAAGTGCAGTTATTTGGTCCCGTTACTTCGTTATAAATATGTAACAACTGTGTCCCAGAATACATGGTTTCAGTCGATCGTTGCGGCTTCGTAATATAATAAATTCGGACAGTTTTATCAGACATTTATATACGCTTATTCTTTGATTATTATTTTATTATATTGAATACGAACGTGAATTTAAATATCATTTTTTATAAATACTCACACGAAATGTTCGTATCAGCGTTCGTAAATAAATTTAAGTGCAGATTTGCAGAACTGATCATTGCTAAAAATATCTATATTATTGTCATTTCGAAAAACATTATATATTATTCCGCAACGTATAAATAAGGAAAATGTTTTGGCTGTAATTTATACTATAAATAATTTATGCAAATAAATGTATTGTTCATTTTATATATTCCTTGTTTTGAATTAAATCCTTAAAAAAAATTTATCTTTTTTTTTATCTTATTTTATAATTGGGATATATTTTATAAAGCGAAATATTAAAATATATTGATCAATATATTAATATAATATTGCTGTATTTTATTTAAGGAAAATATCAATTTATTTCAAAAAGCAAATTTATTTCAAAAATACATCTCTCAATATATATGCTTCAGTTTCGATGCATAAAACAAAAGTTATTTTAATTTAAAATGCTCTTTACGAATTACACATTTACTTTTCAGCATAGAAATATAAAATTAACTTGAAAAATATTGGTTCAATTTGGAAAAACAGAATTATTCATTTTTACGTAAGTTTATTCTTTCATTATTATTTTATTATATTGAATGTGAACGTGAATTTTAAATATCTTCTATAAATACTTGCATGAAATATATTCGTATCAGCATAAATGCGTTTATAAACATTTCATCAGTGATTCACAAAAACTGATCAGGATTTGCCGAATCGTCATTTCGAAAGATATCTATATTCTTCTGCAGTGTATAAATAAGAAAGATATTTTGGCTGTAACTTACGCATAAATATGCAAATGTTTTTGATCCTCCAATTAACATAACAATACTTAATAATATTTATTAATATCGAAAAATTAATCGCAGATCTAAAATTAGTAATTAATACAATTAATAACGTGTGTCAGCGATCACATATACGCACATATACGCGTAATTACATAGTAATTACCAATCATCATTATTTGCGCGACCCCCTCGATATTTGCATCCTGATTTATGAAGGAAAAAATTTAGGAAGAATTCGAAGGTGAAAGAAAGGAAACGAGTGGTCCTCGACAGACGTTGCGCCTGTTGCTTGGCATCGTTTCTTATCGACCGTGGCGTGCGCTGCAGCGATTGCGGCGCCCGATCCTGTAGGAAGGCCTGTTCGCGTTGGGACACATCCGACAATGCCTGGCACTGCATATTCTGCCATCAACAAAGGTTTTTGCAATAATACGTATTCATATTCCTCATCATATTATTTATTTTCGAATTGCATCCTTCATTCGTTCGATGAACGAACTATATAATTTTTCTCGAGGCCTCTTTAGAGTCTCTATCATTAAGCTTAACGTTAAGTCTAGCATATAGCATTAAGAAATTTTCCAAGTCAATTATCGTAAATAATGTTTCCGTTATCAATAAAAGTTTTTTATTAATAAAATTGTTTTAAACAAAAGTTGCATTTGAAAGGAATGACTTATTGTAATTTTACAGATCGTGGCTAAAGAGGAATGATAACTGGTTCGACAATTTCGGTGGCATGGCGAATGAGGAGGAGGAACTGCGTAGCGTCTTTGGCACCGCCAAATCGCATCTTTATGTTGCAGGTAATGTGTGTAGAAATAACGTAGCGAAATTTTTGTAGCGTTGCATCGAGTCAAATATTTCTAAGTCTTGCGACAAGGCAACGGTATAATGGGAGGCATATCACAAGTGTTCCGGAACGTCTGGCGTATGCTTTCTTTTTCTTCGCGATTTTGCATAAGCATTCTATACCCGATCGGCGGACGTCCGTCCTTGTTCCGAGGTATTATAGAAAAGTCGCGTAACGGAGGGAGACCTGAACAGTAAGAACGGTTCGAAAAATCTCTCACGGTGATGCTCATTGTTCGGTGCGCGCTGCGTGATCCACGTGAATTGTATCAACGCGCTCGATCGACGAAGAGCGCGAGCGATCTAACGGAGTGATGTACGGTCCAGGATTTAGAAAGCGACTTTTCTTCGTCCCGCGACGGACAGGTTGTACGATTTGAGACGACGCGATGACGGTGACAACGCAAAGTTTCAAGTGGTTCCGCAATGCAGAGGAATGAGTTCATTCAAATTAAACGCGGAAGAAACGTGATTCTATAACTGTGTGACGGTTCGTGATCACAATCTTGAAAATTTGTATACTTAGCATTATCGCAAATCGAAGTATACGTATAGGTATACAATCGGTAAGATCATTCCTTTAAAATATTTATTGAGATATTCATTCTCTTGATTTTAATTTTTAATAAGAAAATGACGAATAGCATGGAATATAATTTGAAGAGAGTTTTAGCTTCGAGTATCAAAGTATATTTTTACACGGAAAAAACGATTGCCCTGAAGCATCTAAAAATTTAGCTAAATATAATACAATCTGAAAATAATTTTATCGAACTATCACAATAATTGTGGAAGACAAGTTGATTGTTAGAATGTCAAAATTTGTTGCTGTATTGTTTGTTATATTTGAGTGATATATAATTATTTTGATGGTTCAACCAAATTATTTTTAGATTTTTAGCTAAATTTTTAGATATTTCAGTAAAATCTTTCTTTTCAAGTATAAAGGATGCTTTAAAATTTGTTTTCTAGGAAATGCAGCTGCGATTTCAAACGTGGAACAGATTCAGGAGGATCGGGAAGAGAGACGCATGGTGTACGCAATCCAAAATTTTGTCGAGAAGATAGTCGACGGTCTCGTTGAGAACATAGACGATACGCCAATCGATCGACTCTACGAGGACCTCGAATGTAAGTGAATTATTGCATGTAATTGCAACACATATCGCTGCGGCGTAATAATATTAACGCCGAAACACTACCATGTCTCCTAAAATTGTAATCGAAATTTTAATTAACATTCTTTATTCCAGACGACAGATTTCTAGAGGAACATCGTCCACCATTGATCGCCGCTCTCATTCGATTGACTACCTGTTTGAAAGCGTCCCTTACGAGTAAGTATAGTATTTGCAACTTAATTCTATTCAATTTAATCAATATTCCTTTGTAGCGTTTTCGACTGCAGCAAGTTTAGATCGATTAATCTGGAAGTGCCATGAACTCAAATCAGAAACTAGAACTAGTTATTTGCTTCGAAAGTTTCGACATTCAAACCTTCGATATTTCTTCGATACTGATCTTCAAATCTTCGAAGAATCAAAATTATTAATCTAATAAAGTTAATGGTAACGAATATATTTTCATAAAAATATGTTATGAATATATTTTTCTTTTTTTTTTTCTATTTGCACAAGTATACTTTTCGAAGCTTTGAAGCAGGGATATCATTCCACAAATGCTTATGATGCGCTACATCGATACAACACACTAAGGCTCATGTCACATTACGCATTAGAAATCAAGGATTACGAATTGAAAATTACAATTCCGAACGAAATGGATTAAAATTAAAATTATCTGACTGCTCGAATTGAAATTTCCAATTGTGGATTTGTATCTAGCTAAAATTTTACATATTTTAGTAAAACTGTTCTTTCCGTATACATAAATAGAAAACAAATTTAACAAAATAACAATATTAGAACTACAGACTACAATTTTTTCAATAGTTAATATTTAAATATCATTAAACGTGTTAAAAATAATTTTTAATACGATATTTTTTAAATAAAAAAGTGTACTTATTGAGTGAATTGTTATATACACAAATATTAATCTTATATTTATTATAGGAATTTCTAAAAAAATATAACTTTGTAAAATATTATTAATAGATAAAAGAAAAATAGATTAGATAATAACGTTGCGTCACATCGTCAACTCGATAATAAAAATTCAAAATTGCTTAAGAATTTGGAGATCTAATTGCTTCAAAAAAGAGACAGAGTTCTTCTATTTCATTTTCAGCATCCGAAGCTGATCGAAGTGTACGGACATAGGCTTATATCTTAGGACAGGTCCATCAATATAAGATTAACTTTAATCTCGGTTTAACTTTCTGTTTTTATATTTTTTTAATTCTTAGCAAGATTAATTTACATTGTTGGAACTGGATCTTATCTATCTCTGGAGTTTGTATTGCATAACATACCGGCACTTGCAAACCAATCTTTTGTACATGATATAGCATACCGTGTTTGCAAAATGACATCCCTGCTTCGAAGGCACCTTAAACTTTAATAGTTGAAAGTTGATTTTGAAGATTCATCTTTCTTTCAAATTTTCAAAGTTGTTAAATGTAATAACTTTATGTGAAATCCAAAGTACGTAGAACATCATTTAATTGACCAATGTTGAGACTCAAACCCTCTGCAGTTGAAAATACTATTAATTATTCATCTTAATGCTAAAACTTGACAACTTTAAGATTTTGTTCTCTTATTTCTTTTTATTTTATGACTCGTAAGACGGACTAGTCTTCTTAAATCCACTCTTGCATTATTATTACGAAAAAAATATATTTAATTTCACATAATATCGAGATCTTGCAAAACCTGTAAATGTAAATTCATTTCTATGCATATTTATATTTCGACCTCGCCAATATAAATTATTTATGTATTTCAATGTTTCATATTGCAAAATAATTTGGACGGGTCTCACAAAATTTATAAATAAAGAGTAAATTTATGTAGGATGTTTTTTTTGGAATGTCACCAAGATTTTGTAATTAGATAATAATTGCTGCATTATCGTAAATACAAAATGTCTATAAAGTCTGATCTAGACTCTATATCTCGGAAACGATTGTAAATTGTGATGGAAAAATGTTTTGTATCAAAATCGTAGGATATACGATGAAAATATGGACTTGATCTAGAATAATCTCTAGGCTAGGTCAATGTGATTGATGTTTTCTTAAGTGGAATTTCCCATTTTTTATTGCATATTCTTATAGCTTATCTCGAGAGCTTTTCAAAACACTACAATAAAGCTTTTTTTAATTAGTACTTTTCGAGTTACAAGTTGAACATTATAATATCACTGGCGTTAGCGTTACCTAACATGTCTGATGACTAAAAAGTCTCTTGTTCATGACCTGGATATCATTTGTCAAGATTGGAGGTTGTCTCTCTTATTTTCATTTTGATCAAATGAACTTTTACCGTAAAAAGTGAACTTCCAATTGATCTTGACAAATGTTATTCAGGTCATGAACCTGAATAACATTTAAAATGCTTTAGTCGTCGATCGGACACCTTGGATAACTAACGTCGATCATATTGTAACGTTCAAACCTTATAACTCAAAAAGTGCTGATTATAAAAAAGCTTTATTATAGTATTTTGAAAAGCTCTCGAAATAAACTACAAGAATATACAATAAAAAAATGAGGAGTTCCATTTAAGAAAACATCGGTCACATGACTTAGCCTTGAAAAGATTACTTAAAGTCAAATCCACATTTTCATTATATGTCTCTTTTAATATCCTACAACTTTCGTATAAAACATTTTTTCATATCTACAGCCATTTCCGAGATATAAGACCTAGATCAAACTTTATAGATACCCTGTATTTAAATGATATAAATAAATTTATCGTACTGTCTGAAGAAATCAGAGAGGCACACTATTGTTTGTAGATATAGGCTGATTTTTGCAGACTGCAAAATTTTACTTTTAATGCCTTCATGATTTTTCAATAACAAAAAATGCAAAACAAGTGATTAATTAAATAATTTGAAATTCGCGATTAATTACTGAATGATTTACATTTAATGAAAATCAATTTGATTTTCAAATTGATCCACATTTAAGGAAAAACTAGTATAGTGACGTATAGCGATTATATAAATAATTATACAAGTTTTATGTAGAATCAACGTACATAGTTGAATAAAGAGTGTTTTATAATTGCAACAACTATAAAATACAGTTTATTCTATACGTATATGTATATATTATACATTACTTCTATATAAAACTATATAAAACTTGTATAGTTCACTCACTTATATATAACTGTTGCTACAACTATCTTTTTCTCTGAGTGCAATAATTAACAACTATTAGACCTTAATATTAGACATAGCAATATTAAAATGATATATTAAAATGACTAGACAAATAAATAGTAATGAAAATAAAAAAAAGTGATGAAAAAATAAATATTTCATCAATATAAAAAACATTATTAATACTTGAGTGAAAAACGCCCATTCGGTCAAGGTGCGTAATAATAATTTCTTATGAATTTATACAATTTCCAGTTCAAGTGTGCCAATTATTTGTTGCTCTTGAAATACAATCCTAAACTAAAGCTGGAGTAATCAAATCATGAATTAAAAGCAATTTAATATTGCTGCAAATTAGTATCTTAGAAAGCTGTTAACGATTTGATGCTAACATCTTAAAAATTGTAAATAATTTATTACGAAAAATATTACCCTAGCCAGGATTCGAATCCGGATCTCCATGCAGGCGTCTTCTCACATAATTATTAAAAAGTTAAAAAATTTCAGACCATCTATTATACAAGAAATATAATATTAATCTAAAAATAATTTTAAAAAAGTATATAAAAAACAATATATATTTTAATAATTATTAAAAATTAATTAAAAAATAGGAACCATCAATATGATATTTCTTAAGTGTTGGTATCTTAAGTGTTACTGCGATAAGAATGAAATGCCAATTCGCGGAATCTTGAGATCGAACACCCGGTGTATCTTGCCACGGTGACGTATACCGGTTATTAACTGCCGCCTGCGATAATGCCTTCCCACCGAAGACAATGTGCACCGCTCCGCTCCACTGGTCGTCGTTCTCCAGGCACTTTTATCATTATACCCACGTTCGCGACATCTTGACGGCGCGTGATTACGTAAAAGACACTACCGGCGCTCGTAATTATCGTAGTGTCCTCACTTAAGTCGACCCGAGCAATTTTACCTTCCCACGACGATTCTGTTAAAATGCGAAAACGGAAACAGCTGTCCGATGCAATGAAAGTGGGTTACGAATTCATTATCGACGATAGCGTCCAAAAATTGGAAGACAATCTTGACGCAAATAGAAAAATGTTCACTAAATATATATAAAGTTCTCTCATCTTTTTATATCCATTAAACAAATTTTTACTTGAAAATTCCCCGATTTTATTAATTCAATATGTTACATGTGTTTTAAATGTAATGAAAGTATACAATCAAATTCATTTTGTTCATACATATGACAGTAAGGAATATGTAACACTTGAATGTATCAGACTATATTTAACAAGATTGGCGATTTGCGGAAGTTTCTTGCATAATGCAGCCAAATGTCACAGTAATTGAGAAAATAATATTTCCTTCCAGTTACTACTAGCATGATATTTATAAACTGCTAGCATGATATCTTGATATTTTTTTCTTGCAATATTTAAAAACAATCGATGTGATATTGCATATCTTACATTGTTGAGAAAAAGATTTTATCTCTTAGTTTAAAAAAATTTAAGAGCTACGATATACACGTGCACGTAGTTCAGTGAGAACTCGATAGATTGTGCATGTGTACTGCGACGTGATGTTCTCGTTAAAGCCTGTATCTAAGCTTCACAATCTCGCAAGCAATATTATATATATTTTAATGCAATATTTTTATAAATATCAATAAGAAAATATAATTCTTTCATGTATAATATATTGTTTGATACAATTAATTTTGTAAAAATAGGTTAAACATACAATTTTTTATTTTATAACGGAATAAATTTTTTTAATAAATATCTGGCCGACATAATTTTATAATTTTGTCAGAAAAGTTTTATATAGAGATATAAATATTTAATTATATACTAGCTACTAAAAACATTGTTCCACTGCTTTCACGAACCTTCATTCCGGTTTGAAAGGCTTCATATAGTACGTGACTTCGCGAGAAAGACTTCTTCAAAAGTCTACTTTATCGTAAATCGTAAATATATTCCGATCATTAGCTCTCACAACCAGTCGCAATGTTTATGTTATTATGGAACTGAAGAACAGAAGAGTTGCGAATGACTAA